GAGCATACACAGCTGCAGAGAGCATACACAGCTGCAGAGAGCATACACAGCCGCAGAGAGCATACAAAGCTGCAGAGAGCAAGCATACACAGCCGCAGAGAGCATACACAGCTGCAGAGAGCATACACAGCCGCAGAGCCTAGCCGGAGGGTAATGCTAAGCTTCACCACAGTGTCGAGTCCTGCCCGTAGTTCTGCCTCATCCCCACGATAAGAAAACAGAAACATTAAAACTCACGCTGTTGATAAACTGTATTCTGGCCATTATTTGGTGGGGCATATTGTGTGTTTTGCATATCTGATGCTTGTTGCCTGGATAAGTTTTGTTGAATCTTGTGGACAAAGTAGTTTGATTAATGCTCGGAGCGGGTCAGAACATCCTAATTGCTTGTGTTGCAGATTCTGCCACATTCTCGATGCTGTCAGTGTAAAGAAAGTTAGTCTGAGAATACCCGTTCTGCTGAGCGTGCTTGAATCATTCCCAACCGCAAAACAGCGTCATAGCAGCAAAGTGTCAACACAAACCACACACACAAGGCAGCGTTAACACAACAGGAGGTACATTGTGTATTTTGTACACAACAGACTCACACCTGAACAATACGTAACTTTTTCACACTGACAATAATGAGAACATATAACATATAATAGATCCACATGGTAAAACTATATATTATAATAGATCCATGGTAAAACTATATATTATAATAGATCCATGGTAAAACTATATATTATAATAGATCCACATGGTAAAACTATATATTATAATAGATCCATGGTAAAACTATATATTATAATAGATCCACATGGTAAAACTATATATTATAATAGATCCATGGTAAAACTATATATTATAATAGATCCACATGGTAAAACTATATATTATAATAGATCCATGGTAAAACTATATATTATAATAGATCCATGGTAAAACTATATATTATAATAGATCCACATGGTAAAACTATATATTATAATAGATCCATGGTAAAACTATATATTATAATAGATCCACATGGTAAAACTATATATTATAATAGATCCACATGGTAAAACTATATATTATAATAGATCCATGGTAAAACTATATATTATAATAGATCCATGGTAAAACTATATATTATAATAGATCCATGGTAAAACTATATATTATAATAGATCCACATGGTAAAACTATATATTATAATAGATCCATGGTAAAAACTATATATTATAATAGATCCATGGTAAAACTATATATTATAATAGATCCATGGTAAAACTATATATTATAATAGATCCACATGGTAAAACTATATATTATAATAGATCCACATGGTAAAACTATATATTATAATAGATCCATGGTAAAACTATATATTATAATAGATCCACATGGTAAAACTATATATTATAATAGATCCACATGGTAAAACTATATATTATAATAGATCCATGGTAAAACTATATATTATAATAGATCCACATGGTAAAACTATATATTATAATAGATCCACATGGTAAAACTATATATTATAATAGATCCATGGTAAAACTATATATTATAATAGATCCACATGGTAAAACTATATATTATAATAGATCCATGATAAAACTATATATTATAATAGATCCACATGGTAAAACTATATATTATAATAGATCCATGATAAAACTATATATTATAATAGATCCACATGGTAAAACTATATATTATAATAGATCCATGGTAAAACTATATATTATAATAGATCCACATGGTAAAACTATATATTATAATAGATCCATGGTAAAACTATATATTATAATAGATCCATGATAAAACTATATATTATAATAGATCCACATGGTAAAACTATATATTATAATAGATCCATGGTAAAACTATATATTATAATAGATCCATGGTAAAACTATATATTATAATAGATCCACATGGTAAAACTATATATTATAATAGATCCACATGGTAAAACTATATATTATAATAGATCCATGGTAAAACTATATATTATAATAGATCCACATGGTAAAACTATATATTATAATAGATCCATGGTAAAACTATATATTATAATAGATCCACATGGTAAAACTATATATTATAATAGATCCATGGTAAAACTATATATTATAATAGATCCACATGGTAAAACTATATATTATAATAGATCCATGGTAAAACTATATATTATAATAGATCCACATGGTAAAACTATATATTATAATAGATCCACATGGTAAAACTATATATTATAATAGATCCATGGTAAAACTATATATTATAATAGATCCATGGTAAAACTATATATTATAATAGATCCACATGGTAAAACTATATATTATAATAGATCAATCAATCAATCAATCAACGTTTATTTATAGAGCGCCTTTCCTACACAAGGCAACGCAAAGCGCCTCACAACCCATATAACATCATGCATAAATCATCAAACATTAGAATTTAAGTAAACATAAAAAGACAGATTAAGAGCACAAGATATATAAAATCACACAAGTAGTTAAAAACCGTAAAACATTAAAATCACACAAGGGATTACAATCATAAATAATCATAAATAATCATAGCGCATTAAAAAGATTAAAGATAAAAAACAAATATAAAATCATTCACTTGTATGCACAGCTAAAAAGAACTGTTTTCAGTTCAGTTTTAAAAACTGCTAGAGTAGACGCCTGTCTCACACTCTCAGGAAGACGGTTCCAGACTCTAGCTGCATGAATCTGAAACGCAGCCTCCCCATGTCTAGTTCCGACTCTTGGCACTAACAGAAGTCCAGTCCCTGTGCTCCTCAGAGCCCGAGTTGGTTCATATGGCACCAACATGTCGCGGATGTACCCTGGTGTGAGGCCATGGAGAGACTTGTACACAAGTAAAGCTACTTTAAAATCTATTCTCTGAGCCACAGGAAGCCAGTGCAGAGACCTGAGGACCGGACTAATGTGGTCGTACTTCCTGGTTCTAGTCAGGACTCGAGCTGCAGCATTTTGGATGTACTGCAGCTGTTTTACCGCTTGTTTAGAGAGACCTGTGAACAAGCCATTGCAGTAGTCCAATCGACTGGAGACAAATGCGTGGATAAGAATCTCCAAGATCCATGGTAAAACTATATATTATAATAGATCCACATGGTAAAACTATATATTATAATAGATCCATGGTAAAACTATATATTATAATAGATCCACATGGTAAAACTATATATTATAATAGATCCATGGTAAAACTATATATTATAATAGATCCATGGTAAAACTATATATTATAATAGATCCATGGTAAAACTATATATTATAATAGATCCACATGGTAAAACTATATATTATAATAGATCCATGGTAAAACTATATATTATAATAGATCCATGGTAAAACTATATATTATAATAGATCCATGGTAAAACTATATATTATAATAGATCCATGGTAAAACTATATATTATAATAGATCCACTCGGTAAAACTATATATTATAATAGATCCATGGTAAAACTATATATTATAATAGATCCATGGTAAAACTATATATTATAATAGATCCACATGGTAAAACTATATATTATAATAGATCCATGGTAAAACTATATATTATAATAGATCCATGGTAAAACTATATATTATAATAGATCCACATGGTAAAACTATATATTATAATAGATCCATGGTAAAACTATATATTATAATAGATCCACATGGTAAAACTATATATTATAATAGATCCATAGTTAAACTATATATTATAATAGATCCATGGTAAAACTATATATTATAATAGATCCACATGGTAAAACTATATATTATAATAGATCCATGGTAAAACTATATATTATAATAGATCCATGGTAAAACTATATATTATAATAGATCCATGGTAAAACTATATATTATAATAGATCCATGGTAAAACTATATATTATAATAGATCCATGGTAAAACTATATATTATAATAGATCCATGGTAAAACTATATATTATAATAGATCCACATGGTAAAACTATATATTATAATAGATCCATGGTAAAACTATATATTATAATAGATCCATGGTAAAACTATATATTATAATAGATCCATGGTAAAACTATATATTATAATAGATCCACATGGTAAAACTATATATTATAATAGATCCATGGTAAAACTATATATTATAATAGATCCATGGTGAAGCTCAGTAGAGCCTCTGTGCAGCAGGTGCTGCGTCTGAATGTGGTCTTGTTTACATGTCGGCTCCACGCGACTGTCAAGTGCCCGAGACGTTTGGAGAGATCCGGTCATTTATCAAACTAAAGTATTCTTTCCTTGGCAGTCTGGTGAATCAAACTAAAGTATTCTTTCCTTGGCAGTCTGGTGAATCAAACTAAAGTATTCTTTCCTTGGCAGTCTGGTGAATCAAACTAAAGTATTCTTTCCTTGGCAGTCTGGTGAATCAAACTAAAGTATTCTTTCCTTGGCAGTCTGGTGAAAGACTGAGAGTTGAGTTGCAGCGTACGCCTTGTAGAGTTTGAATGAGCAATGAGGAGGATTGGCTGTTATAGTGACGACAGTGGAGTCACTCTGGGATCAACAGAACCACGTCTGAGATGATAGTTCTGATCAATTATACAATAAATAGGGCACAAATGTTACTTTTAACAACATTTGAGACGAGAAATCTGACCCTATTGTCATTTTGGTGATTTGTTGAGCTGTAAACAACAAAAAGGCCGGACTGGGGGGAGCTCCGTAGCGTTAAGCTAACAGCGTTAAGCTAACATTGATTTTTAAACAGACCTTTATTTATCCATTAAACAGGTCAAATGACATCACATGTTACACACAGTAATGTATAGAACAAAGACAGTTTAAAAATCCGGACATAAAAGTGCAAAAACTGTAATAAATAAACAACGCAACACTTCACACACTTCAATTCATAGGTTTACAACGAGAAAAAGGCAGAAAAAAAACAGCTCCCCGTCCCTCACAGAAAAGAAAAGGAAAAACACTAACCACTGAAATCAGTTGGGACCCTCACTGGCCACTTGGGCCCTGACTTTGCTCAGAAATTTCTTAAGCCTGAATCTCTCCTGGTCTGTGAGAGCGTCCTCATCCTGAGAGCTGGAGCTCCACACCAGGGGCCGGGCCGTCTCAGAGAAAAGCTTCAGGTTAGGAAAGTAGCTTTCTACTTTAACACTCCTCATTCCTTTAGTGCAGGCATGTCAAAGTCAAATACATCAGAGGGCCAAAAAAAAATGTTTGCTACGCGCCGAGGGCCGGACTGGTTCAATGTTTCTCAACATCCAGAGGCAGTGCCGGTGACACCTGCTGGCTCGTTAAAATATGCTCTAAAGCTAATCCTCATACTGTACATATTAGATGTAATAGACATCTGAGAACATGAAAATAGTAAAAAAAAAAAAAACCTCAAACTTGGTGAAATGTAAAAGAGCTGTCTGGACCTCTTTTCGGGGCATTTTTTGATGAAATCTGCAGAATGGATTATACTTTGGGAAATACAAGTGGATATTCTTCTTCAATAGACAGTTACAGAGAGAAAGAGACTAAGCAAGGATGGGGAACGTCTAATTTGTTGGAGCAGCAGAAGACGAAAGGTAAAAAACAAATACAGACGTGATTTATTTTGTGCCCATATTATGCGTTATATCTTTTTAATGCAAAGTCTGATATAGTTTACACTTACATATAAATATAGCTGAGAAAATAAGCTTTAAAATGATATATAGCTTGTGGCTTATGAAGTTCAAAATACATCTGCTATTGCCAGCAGAAGTATTTTTCTCCTCGTTTGCTCCCGCCGGCGGGGGCTAGCGAGCTTAAGGGGTCAACACATTGCCTCAATGGCAGGCAATGTCCCGGGGGCCATAGATAATTCATTCGCGGGCCGGATTTGGCCCGCGGGCCTTGACTTTGACACATATGCTTTAGTGTCTCTCAAAAACTTTCTTATGTCTACAGCTGAATATGACTTAACACCTTTACTCAAACTGCGTGTGACTTTAAACGGTTTCTCTGTGCTCTGAGAACTGCCTCCCTTTCTCTTCTGAGGATAGAGACACTGCTCCCCATCTGACATCTCCTCATCTAAATACTCAGAGTCACTGTCTCCCACACTGCTCAGCTCCTGGCTCATGTCACACACCTGCTCCTCGGGGGGAGGAGGAGTGCTGTCAGGGTCATTGACAGCAGTGGGGGCCCCCGCAGCGGGCTCCACCGCGGACCCCGCAGCGGGCCCCACAGCGTGCTCCACCGCGGGCTCCACCGCGGGCCCCGCAGCGGTGTCTGGGTCGTCGGGGGGGTCCCCAGCAACGCCGTCCGCGGGGGGAGGCGTTGGGACCGGGCGCGCGTCCCCCGATGGCTCCGCTGCCTCCGCGCTGGTCTCAGCGGAGGCTGCAGAGGTGCTCGGTGTCTGTGCGTCATTACGCGGCACATTCTGATCCATTCGTTCTGGGCACGCTCTGATCAGGTGACCCTCTGCGCCGCAGCCAAAACATTTCATGTTCTCAGATGAAGCAAAAATCACATAACTGAATCCATCAATTTTACAAGTGAAGGACAGGCTTAATTCGGAGTTATCCTTCAGCACCATGAGCACCTGTCTGCGATGGTCCTTCAGCACCATGAGCACCTGTCTGCGATGGTCCTTCAGCACCATGAGCACCTGTCTGCGATGGTCCTTCAGCACCATGAGCACCTGTCTGCGATGGTCCTTCAGCACCATGAGCACCTGTCTGCGATGGTCCTTCAGCACCATGAGCACCTGTCTGCGATGGTCCTTCAGCACCATGAGCACCTGTCTGCGATGGTCCTTCAGCACCATGAGCACCTGTCTGCGATGGTCCTTCAGCACCATGAGCACCTGTCTGCGATGGTCCTTCAGCACCATGAGCACCTGTCTGCGATGGTCCTTCAGCACCATGAGCACCTGTCTGCGATGGCACACTACGTGTCTGAGCAGCGGTGACTTACAGCCCAGTGACATCATTTTAATCGGTGTCACCAGCTCCGAACCGGGACAGTTCTGCAGCTAGAGTCTGGTTCTTGATAAACGGAGGAGCGTTGGAGACGATGACCCGCCTGGCGGGACTCACCAGCGGCAGCACAGAGGTGAACAGGCCCTGGATGGTGGCTCCCTTCTCCACGGCCTCCGCCACCTTCTCAGTGCTGGACAGAAAGATCACGACCGCTCCGTTCATACGTGAAGCAGACTTGATGTGGACGTATCCCACTTCTTTCCCCACAGCGAGTATCACCTCCTCCACAGAGAGTATCGCCTCCTCCACAGAGAGTATCACCTCCTCCACAGAGAGTATCACCTCCTCCACAGAGAGTATCGCCTCCTCCACAGAGAGTATCGCCTCCTCCACAGAGAGTATCACCTCCTCCACAGAGAGTATCGCCTCCTCCACAGAGAGTATCGCCTCCTCCACAGAGAGTATCGCCTCCTCCACAGAGAGTATCGCCTCCTCCACAGAGAGTATCGCCTCCTCCACAGAGAGTATCGCCTCCTCCACAGAGAGTATCGCCTCCTCCACAGAGAGTATCGCCTCATCCACAGAAAGTATCGCCTCCTCCACAGCGCCTCCTCCACAGAGAGTATCGCCTCCTCCACAGAGAGTATCGCCTCCTCCACAGAGAGTATCGCCTCCTCCACAGAGAGTATCGCCTCCTCTACAGAGAGTATCGCCTCCTCCACAGAGAGTATCGCCTCCTCCACAGAGAGTATCGCCTCCTCCACAGAGAGTATCACCTCCTCCACAGAGAGTATCGCCTCCTCCACAGAGAGTATCGCCTCCTCCACAGAGAGTATCACCTCCTCCACAGAGAGTATCACCTCCTCCACAGAGAGTATCGCCTCCTCCACAGAGAGTATCGCCTCCTCCACAGAGAGTATCGCCTCCTCCACAGAGAGTATCGCCTCCTCCACAGAGAGTATCGCCTCCTCCACAGAGAGTATCGCCTCCTCCACAGAGAGTATCGCCTCCTCCACAGAGAGTATCGCCTCCTCCACAGAGAGTATCGCCTCCTCCACAGAGAGTATCGCCTCCTCCACAGAGAGTATCGCCTCCTCCACAGAGCAGGACGCCGCGTCAGCTGCTCCAAACCTCTGTTCCCGGCCATCCCGGGCGTTACGCCTCGCCCGGAGGCCGGTACACGGGCAACAAACACTCCGAAACACAAGCGCACGGTAATCCAGAGAAACACTTTGGCAAAAACCACAAAAATACTCAAAAAACTCCACTCAAAACCACGCGCTCTCAGTCAAAAAAACCTAAGCCTTAAGCTAACAGCATTAAGCTAACAGCGGGGGCTGCTACGAACGCAGCCGTCCTGGGACCACAAAGCTCGGATACAACTTCAGACATTACCCTGGTCCTCACGGTCCCAGACCCCGGTCCTCACGGTCCCAGACCCCGGTCCTCACGGACCTAGATTATATGTGAGAAGAGTGATTGTAAAGCCTGCCTTTAGCTTTGTTATACATGTAAATGTTGGTTTGAGACCTTTGGCATTAAAACATGTATTTAACAGTTCTTTCTCTCTTTTCCCTCGGTTACTACAACCGTATACCACACAAGAATACTGCATTATATCGATGAAAGTCAGCCAAGTAAAGACCGCGGACTGTCGGCTGTGTCTGCGGCCGCAGATGCTACACAGGCTAATGCTAATGCTAACGCATTTCTTCCGTTCCTTATTAGGCATTTTCCAAAAAAAAAATCGACACCCGTTAGTGAAATAAATTTTAGAGAAATAGAGACTCCATAAGTTCTCCACTTCAGGGTTTCCTCCAGAGGGGGGGGATCAGTCCCCTCCTGGCCATGGCCCTAGGGGGGGATATCCCCCCCTCAATTTTTTGGCCATACATGTATACAATTCTCACATCAAAAAGAGCCTTATTATTCTACATTATTTTCATTGGGATAACTCTGATTTGGAATACTATCTAATCTAATACATATAGGATACACTACAAAAAATACAAACTTCCTCACAGGAAAATTGTTTTATTCTTTATTGTGAATTTATGAGCTAAATCATTTTTGCCCAACCTTTTTGAAGTGGCACATTTTTTCCATTGAAAACAATCACATGGCAAACCACCAGCTAAAACTTATACAAACATGAAACTCGGCAGACTTTATCAACAACAAAAGTCATTCTCAACAAATATGTACATATATGTATATAGAATTCAAACAAGCACAAAAAAATCGTCCTAATCTTCCCACATTCTTTTCACTTTATTTTGACCGTATAGGGGATATTGGACAATTTTCAAAGGCACACTATACAACATCTCAAGGCACACTAATGTTCCACGGCACACTGGATGAAAAACACTAGGCTAGATGAGTATTCTATGAGAAGATCGCCTCATCTTCCACAGATCTAAGATACTGTCAAAGTCAACCATACCCAGATTCTTTGGACCCTCGATTGCAATACGCATCAGACAATCAAGGGAAATGGAACTGAGTCTACTACGTAGACGGGTTTTGATCATCTTCATGTCACTGAATGATCTTTCCACAGTGGCTGTTGAGACGGGCATACATAAAGCAATGTACATCAATGTCATAAGATTAGGATACAGAGCTGTTGCCTCGCCATTACTTACAAGGTCTGACATCATATCAGCTAATGATTGTGTTCGATATTGTGATGCCATGACCTTCTTAAATGCCCGCCATTCAATTCGACACTCATCACAATCTACATCAGGTGGGGCTGTCAAAGAAATAGGGGCTTCATCTTTTGCTTGCAGAGTGGCGACTGTGCTTGCACCATAAAATGATAACAAGGTTTCTAGACGGTCATTGCCATAACTTGGTAGATTTTCAGCTGCTGGTAATTTTTTCGGATTGAAAATACTCATAGCTGACACAAGGCCTAATGATTCGTTGAACCGACTTTTTATGTTCTTCAGAACTTCCTTCATGTATGGTACAGCTATTTCGTCATAGAATTGTCTGGTTGCATCAACAGAATGCGGAATACCCAAACCCTCACAAGCATCATCAATTTTTTGAATATTTTTCCCAAAGCTTGGTTCATTGATCAATTGTTCAATCGTTTCCACGCAGGTGTCAAGTTCTGCTTGCAGGTAGGACGTGTCCATTGATTTACTCTGCAGAGTCTTGCTTAAGCGGGTGACAGGTGACAGTAAGTCAGACAGGACATGGACTACTGCCACAAAGTTGAAGGTATTAATGACTCTGTGAATACCTAATGCTTCTGGATCACCTGTAATTAGAAAATGCACAAGTTTACTATTTTATTATTAATTATATCAATCTTTATATACTAATATTAGATATTTCCAGGCTATCTAACATTATTTGACTCAAATTATGTTAATTATTTTACTTAAAGATCAACTAAACACCAGTTCCCAGCCTTACACATATGAACATTTCAGTTTATGTTTGGTTGTCCTTTAAAAACATCTAAACAAACTATAATATCATAATTAAAAATAAAAAATAAATTAAAAAAAGTGTTTTTATCAATAACTCCTCACCTGTTTCTTGGTGGATGTGCTCGAATGTGCTGATCAATGGTTGAAGGGATATCCTGACTGCTCCAACACACCTTTCGTAAGCTAACCATCTTGTGTCACTTGGTTTTATCATCTTCATCTGGGGATGATCAAGTACACTCTGGATTTCTCGCAATTCAACTGCCTTCTTTGGTGAATAGTGAAAGGTCTTCCATATTGACATCATTGTCTGCAAGGCTTTTTGCACTTGTTTGTGAGACTTGCAAGCAGCAATAAGTGCAAGCTGGAGAAGATGACAATGGCAATGGACAAATATAGCCTTGGGGGAACAGAGACTCTTTAGTCGTTGCTGAACACCAGTTTTCTTCCCTGACATAGTCGCAGCTCCATCGTACCCTTGACCTCTCATCTTTCTCCAATCAACACCTGGAAAATAATTGAACTGAATGAGATGTAGGAATACATTTCTGTTCGTAGCAGACATGTAATCTAGGATGCTTACCCTTTACTTCCATGAATTCTTTTGCCTTTTTAGCTATCACTTCTGCACATGTAGACTCAAGACTAATGCAGCCAAGAAAATGCTCCTCAGATTTGCCATTGACAATCCTGCGTGCACAAACACTCATTTCCTCAACAGTGTTGATATCCGTGCATTCATCACAGAGAAGGGAGAAGAAAGGGGAGGTTCTCAGAGATTTCAGTAGATCATTTTCAATCCAGGCACTAATGGATTGGATAAACTCTTCTATCACCATATTTGAGCAATAGTTGGCATTTTTTGGTGCAGTCTCCAGAAATTCTTTGATGTCATCAGCTCCATTTTCAATCTGTAATTGCAGCAAGTCCTGAAAATTGGTGAAATGAGCTGACTTGGACTGGCAAAGATAATAGAGGGATCGCAAGAATTTTTTAAGCATTTCCCGGTTTTTCAGACGAAGAGCTGCATCAGCTTTCTTTTGGCCTTCAGTAGCCACAGTTACTATGTCCCCATGATGAGCTGTCTGAGAAGCTGCTTGGAGACGAGCCTTTGAGTCTTTATGACGCTGACTGTTTTCATGCTCCCTGATTTTTCCAAGTGCCTTTCTCCAGTTACTGACAGGTACTGTTTCCCATGCTCCTTTAGTTCTTGTATTGGATATGTGATTATGAACTCCATATTCAATACAGATACTGCAAAGCATACCATCTTGTAAACTGTCACACCTAAAAAAAAAAAAAAAAAACAGTTCTTATACTTCAGTCATATCAAAATGTGATGCATCAGACAACCTCATCAGGATTAATGATTATTAATTTAAAAATAACTAACATTTGCGACTATAGCCTTTGGCTTTTGATATAGGCCAAAACAAATATAAAAAAATAAACTCTTGTGTATAGGTGCAGTCATTTATTAGGCCTACAGTGACTTGTTCCTTTTCTCATGAAGCCGAAGGGAAAAGTTCTAAATTTTTACATTTGAATATCTTAGGACATTTCTAAATCAATCATGTTCCTTTTAATGTGTTTTTAAACCATTTTTCATTATGTCAAAATCATATCAATAAAGCCTTTACCTTAGCCATGGATGAGATATTTTCCATTCTTCTCGAAACTTCAAACCAGACTTCTGAAGGGGGACAGATTTTTCCTGCTGATCGTCAGTACGGCTATCGGTGCCGCTTATCTTTTCTTCGTGGAGTTGAATGTTAGGAGCCGCTTCATCCTTGTTCCTTGTGATATTTGGCTGTGTTGTATTATTTTCTTTTTTATCTAATCTAGGTTTTTTGATCACCCACCGATCCATCGTACCTCAAATTTCCGATTTTTGTTGTTGTACCTCCCTAGCTAAATAGCGGTTCACTTTTCGCGGTCTTACGGATTTATTTTTAGCATTATTTTTACTGTATTACTGTACTGTGGTGTTTATCCTGATTGGCTTAAGAAAAACCAGCGTGTTGTGTTCTGCGTCCTGATTGGCTAAGGGGCTCCTGTCAATCTCCGTGCCGGTGTCTCCTGTACGTCACAGCATTCTGCTTGACAAACGTAAATCGACGTCTGATTGCTAGCAGTGAGACTGTTAAGTGCTTTATGTATGCTTGCTTGTTATCTCCTTGACAAAACCATGGACCACAACAGATGAGAAAACCTGCCGTCGCACTCACAACTTTTAGCACCCATGTTAAAAAGTTGAACTTCTTGACATGAACCATGACAGCAAAGAGGAGCATATTGCGGAGCCCAGGCCATTGACGAGTCATTTTTACGAAGCACTGAGCCCATTTAATGCCAACAAGGGCTGGTTTAACACATTTCAGAAACGCTTCGGACTTCAGTGTTTTGCTCCACAGATATTACGCTTCTGCCGTTAGAGCGGAGGAATATGTGAACAACAAATTCAAAGCGATACCCGATGAAGGGATATTTAAGCCAGAACAAGTTTTAAATATGGATGATACGACCCTATTTTTAAAACTAATGCCCTCTCGCATCTTTATAATGCAGGACGAAGTCAAAGCAGGCTTTAAGGCCCACATATCGTGACTCTTGTTATGTGTGTAATTTAATCATATGACATTGTACTTTTGTGTGTATGAGAAAATCCCTGTTGTCACCTGCTAAAGGAACGTGTATGAATTGTGTATGTTATTTTTTAACGTGTCCACCTCAATAAACGTGTGTATTTTTTTTTTTTCATCGGACCCCCCCGCAATCCCCCCCTCACGTAAATTCCTGGCGGAAACCCTGCACTTGATATGAGCAGTTGCAACAACTGCACACGCCACAGAAAAAAAGCATTTTGACTCGGAATCAGTGAATTTTTACATTGTTCTTAATGGGGAGATTTACTTCCTGTCCCTCGGAGCACTTTGGCGCCGCTGCGTGACGTCATCTGCAACCCAGCAATAGTGTAATAGTGGTGTTTAGTGTAATGGGAACGCTGTAGGCCAGCGCCTGGGGACATTGCCCTCAAATAAAACATGTTTTGAATTAAAATACCATAAATTGTAGAAGAATCATTTCAACCAATGTACAATGGATTTGCCCTCGTAAAATACTTTTTTGAAAAGTCGACATGGATCCAAACAACACGCCAAGCCTTTAAATTTCCTCTTGAAATCAGGGCCGCAGTCTTAACGTGATATTAAGTGATTGGTCAATCATACGAACTTGTTGGAGAGTAGACACCAGCTACAATGCGGATCTCTAGAGCCCACACACTCTGAGCAGGAGCTATACCGGTCACATGACTCCACTGGTAAACGGGTCACCTGCAGAAGGACAACATGTAGATTGTTATTCACACTCTAAACGTAACTGTTATTTTGAGTTTGGGTCACCTGGTTCTGGCTGAGCACGTAGATGAAGCGACAGTCTGGACTCAACCCCATGTCTCTGAGAATAGGCTCTCTCTCTGTCACATTCAGCGTCTCGTACAGCAAAGCATCCTGGGAGTTTGAAGCGCTGTCTACTCGGAGCTTAAATAAACCACACAAACACAAAAATATGTAAATTAATGTCTATGATGTAAGCATTTTCAAAATCCCACTTGGCTCACCTTCTTTAAATGTCCAGTCCTTGTCCCCACAAAGATTAGGGTGTCCTCCCCGTAGGTGCACCCAGCCACTGCCCCCATGCCCTGGGTGCGGTCCTGGTGTAGGGGGTGTCCCTGGATCACTCGGTCCCCTCCCAGAGGCTGGTTAAAGTCCATGCCACAGAAGTGTTCTCCAATCTCTACAGGCTGAGAACCACAGAAGAATGATCAGAACATAGAAATGTCTTGAGCATTTTAAGTCATTCTAAGGGGTCCGAGGTATTTTACTTTAATAAAGCAAAAGAACGATTCTGTTCATTTTTTGTGACACAAAGTAATCCAAAAGTAATGTAACTTAGTTACTTTATTGCAGAAGTCAAGAAATTTAACTAATTGCTTTTTTGGTGAAAGTAACTAGTAATTTGTAACTAATTACTCTTTGAAAGTAACTTGCCCAACACTGATTACTAACCGCTGTTATGCATGAGAGCTCCTTGCCGAGCAGCCAGGGCACAGACAGCCTCCCCATCCCTCGATAACATGAGCGGATCTTCTCAGTTATGGCCTGGTTTATGTCCCGGAGCGTGAAGAGGCACAGAACTGTGTCTGTGTTTGAACGGTTCTGCTGACCCTAAAGACAAGACCAGGGTTAGACCAGAGCCACTCTCATGTGATCACATTTACATTCAAACACAGACAATACAAAGAAGTTCAACACAAATGGGTGAACCTTCACACCTTCACACCTTCAAACCTTCCCAACCCACCTTGAAGAGCCAAAAGGATATACAAATACCAGTGTTGACATGTCTGACCTGTGAAAAGAGGACCAACAGGACATCCTCGTCCTCCCCCAGGCCGAGCTGCAGAGCCAGCTTCTTCCCAGGCTTCTGTTTGAACGCAGCCTGCACCACTCTGTAGTCCACCCCGTCTTTGGTGCACCCGAGAGGAAACTCCACATAGGAAAAAAACTTTGGGTCATCGCTGCACATCCGGACGATCTTGGTGGTATAGAAAGTCTCCCTTCCTGGGTCTGCCTCTGATTTGGAACAATGACACGAACTCGAGCTGGAACTTTTGGGCGTGAGCTCGGTGTCCAGTTGTAGCGTGACAAAGTAAACGTAGAAGCCACTGGAGAAAGTGTAGACGTAGTGGATGTTGAAGTCTGGATACACTTTGAGAGTGTCTTCAGGAATTTTAATTTGAGAAGAGACAAATTCATCCTGATAAACCAGAGACAACATGTCATTACTGTCCACATCCGGCAGTAGCTTGCGATGGGACAGCGAGGGGTAATACTGGTGTGTCCTGGAAACACTGGCTCCGATGTAAAGACGACTGTTGCCTTGGACCGGTTTCTGACTGTCAGGGTTAGAGCCTCGGTTGTCCTTGTCCAATATCAGACCTAAAAGCAGATTCAAAGGGACGTTAGCATTCTTGACAGGGCAAGAATGCTAACATAAAACACACTTCATACAAAAGGCAACTCAAAGTTCTGAACAAGCTAGACAACAACCATACAAGGCATTAAAATCATAAATACAGTTTAGAAAAAGTAGTGACGATTAAGGTGGGTGGAGAGGTCCTTCCTAACATTGAGGAGTTCAAGTATCTCAGGGTCTCGTTCACGAGTGAGGGAAGGATGGAGCGTGAGATTGACAGTCAGAGCTGTACCCAACCCAGTCCACAGAGCACCAGCCCCTTTTCCCTCTAAACATTTAAGTCTGTCTGCCTTGTCCATGTAGCCAATAACAGCACTACTCAGATCCTCATCACAGAAAGGTATAAAAGTGGAGCTTCATTCTGGCCACAACAAACAGCCTAAAAAACTATTATAATATTAAAACACTTGTACCTGCCATGCCGTTGGGGTCGCTGCCTCCGGACACATAGTGCTCTTTTTGCAGGTGTGGTTCTCCGAGGTTGAACAGGTCATCCAGGCGCAGGAACTGGCACACGCCCTGCCATTTGGTCCCACACGCCAACAGTCTGTTCTCACTGTAGTCCACCAGGAGGAGCTTATTCACATTATCTGACCTGCCCAAACTGAGAACAATACAAGAACATCAAGACCAGCTTATTCCAGTTTGACTTTATTCATTATCTATGGAAACAAAATTAAGGTTGCTGAGAGTGGAGGCAATGTAAAAGTAAAAAGTGAAACTTTTGCAGACTGTGTACATTATGTTGTCCTGCTTCCTGCTCTTGTACTGTGCGGTCGCTTTCTCTCGCTGCTCTAAGCTCGCTGCTTTTTAATCTTCTTTAATTACTTTTTATTTACATTTTTATTTGACAAAACACAGATTACTCCTTTTTACAAACTTCAATACAAGACTTGTGGAAATTACCAACTTACAGCATGTCTGGAGGACAGAAAAAAAGACAACTTTGCGACGGCTGTTTTTCACTCAAACAGGAGTTAAAACTTCTTCAAGACCGATTGTTTGTCCTTGAATCAGAAATGGGGCTAAACACAACAATACCAGTGAAGGGAAATGGACAAAACGTAAGTTATGATGACGCTATTTCATTTCCCAAAATCAACGGGGAAAATTGCTGGAACAAATATGGAGCCAACAAGGCAAAGCTAATGATAACGCTATTCACCACTTTTGGAAACAGAAACAGCGTCTCAGTCTCAGTCAAGGTCCAATGCTGCGGAGTTATTCTTTATCGGGGATTCTGCGATCAAGAATGTAAACGTACGTGGTGTGTAAACAATGTCGGTACAGTCTGCCAAAGTGGATGAGATAAGACTGTTGGCTCCAAAGCTTCTGTCTGAGACCGGCGGGGTAAACAGATTGTTGATCCACGTGGGGGCAGTAGACGTCTATGACAACACAAGTTAAAAGTTAGAACGGGACTTTCTCTCTTATTGGACGACCTTGCAAAAATTGACTTAAAAATTGTTATCAGTGGACCACTACCAAATGTGGACGGGAAGCAAAGGAAATTTAGCCGTCTATATCAGCTAAATTTATTGAGAATTTTAACCTGTTCTGGAATAGGCATGAGCTTTTTGAAGGGAAAGGGCCACAACACTTATAAGGTAATAAGGTAACCAATAAGGTAAGGCATAGCAATAATCATGAAGCTCTTCGCGAAAGTTCACTGTGGTAGACCCGGCCACTGCTGCCAGATCTACAAGCCTGCTCATCCTCTACTCATTACACCAGCAAAACGCCCACATCTAATCCACCAATAACCACCAGGACAGCAAGTTAAAAGCCGGAGACGCCCACTTCCCGGCCTTCTGAAGTGTTGATGGATAACCTTTCTTTTGCCCTGAGACCTCAGCCTGCGCAGCGCGTGCAGCCATTGAAAGGGAGGAAGAAGCAAAGTGCATCTCCAGCGACAACACAACCATCTCCACCGACTCCAAAGGTCTCAACACCTCCATCACCCCCTAGGATCTCAATACCTCTACCACCTCGAAGGATCTCAACACCTCCACTTTCACCAGCAGCAGCTGCATCATCACCAGCAGCAGCTGCATCATCACCAGTAGCAGCACCTGCAGCACGACCACCACCAACATCCTCATCCCCAGCCTGCTCCGAAGCATTCACGCCTTCTTCATCTACAGCGCCTCTGAAGCCCCCATCCTCCCCCCAAGTTACAGCAGACAGGCCTGTGCTGGAGTTTCCTCAACCACCTCCCCCTCCACCAAAGGCTCCCTTGTCACCTCCCATGGACCTGTCTTGGTCCCCCCTGCCACGTCCACTCCATCAAGAGAGAATGGGGACACTTCCCTTTGTTTTTCATCCCCGCCTTCACTGTTAGACCTACCTGAGCACTCATGACCATTCCACCCCCACTTCCCCGTCGTTCAACACCCAATACCTCCACCTCAGCCCACCCGTCCCCTAACCCATCATCAAAAACCCCTCTACCTCCCTGTCACATCCAACACCCAAGAACCACTCACCTCCTTTGGTCTCACTCAGCACGTGAGTGGCCCCACCCACAGCAGAGGACACACTCTAGATCTGTTAGTTACTAAGGGGGTGAATATTGCAAATGTAGACGTGGTCGATGTTGCTCTTTCGGATCATTTCTGTGTATTTTTTGACATGTGTTTCACTAACAAACCACCAGTGGACTCTGCAACTGTTCGAAGAAGACACATACATGAAAATACGAGTGATCTATTCATGGGAATGATAAACTTTGAGAATGCATCGTGTTCTACTGTAGATGAACTGTTTAACTCTGTCACCTCTAGTGTTTTGAATGTTCTGGATACCGTTGCCCCTGTGAAGGTTAAAATAGTGAAAAAAAAGCAGAAGGCGCCGTGGGCAAAAGCAGACTCAGTCAGCACTTTGAATTGCCATGCGTATGAATTGTGCTATACAAATAAACTTGCCTTGCCTTGCCTACGTCATTGGTTTTTTGAAACTGAATGGAAGAATTTGTAAGAAGGTAGAACCTGATCCTTGACGGTATCTCCCTTCACCTGTGTGCACAGGTCTGGACGCTGGGCGGGGGGTAGCACCGGTCGTTGTCCTCCACCGGGCCGGTCTCATGACTCCTCAGCAGTGTCAGATCGGACGACAGCTTCAGGACTTGGTTGACCGCTCCGACATAGACCTCGCCGGCGCCCGAGTGGACTGTGAGGTGAGTGAAGGAGGTGTCAGGAGTGCAGTACTCCACTCTGCCACCAGGGTCCACAGCTGAGGAGGAGCATGGGAGGGGGAGATTGAGGGGAGATGGTGAAGTCGTGGTGAGGAGAGAAGCCGCAGTGGAGCAGGTAGTGCAGCTTCAAGAAAATAATTGAGAAGTTAATATAGGTTTTACAACGTCAAATGTCAAACGTTCATTAAGTATTCTTTATATTCATGGTATTTTAAAGTTCTTTAATAACACAGAGTGTAAAGACATGTTTGGGCAGTAGACTTCTGACTTCTTAATAGGTTTCTTTACACTTTTGTCGTATTAAAAGAACCTCGTAAGTGTATTATACATTAATGTTCTCCTTAAACAACAGAATTCATAAAATAATGTAGAAAATGAATGTGAAAAAACATTTATAATAGAAGCTAGATAACCTTGTACTCTGAGGGGATTTCTTATTCACAGGAACTGTGGTCATATATAAAATAGTGTGTTAATAAGGTAATAAGGTAACCAATAAGGTAAGGCATAGCAATAATCATGGAGCTCTTCGCGAATGTTCACTGTGGTAGACCCGGCCCCTGCTGCCAGATCTACAAGCCTGCTCATCCTCTACTCATTACACCAGCAAAACGCCCACATCTAATCCACCAATAACCACCAGGACAGCAAGTTAAAAACCGGAGACGCCCACTTCCCGGCCTTCTGAAGTTTGCAAACTTCTGAAGTCTGCAAACTTCTGAAGCCTGCAAGGTGCATGTCGCTAACGCACCTGTTCGCAAATGCATGCGTTGTTCTGGAGGGGTCGCTTCTGCTCACGTGTTGCTCGTGCGCGTGGCCCGGCTGTCCTCAGTCTGGCTGCTTGTGGTCTGCTCCTCCTCCGCGTCCCTGCACCTGCTGTGGTTCGCATATCCCCACTGCTCTCCTCCTCTGCGGGCTCTTCTGCGGGCTGCTCCGCGGGGCCCTCCGCGGGGCCCCTCTGCAGGTTCTGTGCTGCTCGTTCCTCGTGGTCTGCTGGTGCCGTGCGTGTCCCTGGCTCCGATTGGCGGTGCCGCGTTGTCCCGTTGCTTTTCCCAAGTCTCCTGGCATGTGAGTACAGTGAGTGTGTCGACCGCGGACGGATTAATCCCGGAGTCTAGGCTGCAGGCGACTGGTTTTTGCCCTACGCACTTGACTGCAGGCGTCAGTTTTCGCCCCGTGCTTGGTCTGCAGGCTCCGTTTTACACGTGTTGAGCTAACTGAGGGACAATGCATCTTAAATGGCATCAATCTCCAATGTCTGAGGGATATAAGAGGAGCAATGTGCATTAATTCAGATTCATGTTCTGCCACTTGCAGTAAAACCACGTTGGAAAAAATGTGCAAAGACTACCCCATCGTGCTCCAGACGGCACACACAGAGCTCTTGCCACGGCGCCATCTTTACAGCATTAATCTCATTACTCGCAAGTCACTATTGTTAAATTAATGTATTTAAATTCGTCTATCTGCAGGAGGAAGGAGGGGCCATGCATTTAAATAGCTAGGTCACTAGTATTAAATTGGGTAACTAAACTGCAGTTGTTGCATTTCGAAAGTGCAGCAGAAAGAAAAGGGGCCCAATGTGAATCTGCAATGGGTTTGAAGTGGAGTTGGAGCTAATGAACGCATGGAAAAGTGATCGTTCATGCGTATCTGCCATAACCAAAGCAGCAGATGGCTCCAGGGGACATCTGTTATTCGCATGGGAATGTTTCGGATTCGGGATGATTTATTTCCTCAGGCTCTTAAACAACTATGGGCACGGTTCTCTGACCGCCGCTGCTGCGGTCCCTGCTGCCGTTCCTACTGATGCCTGTTCCCGCTGATGCCTGTTCCTGCTGCCGCTCCTGCTGCTGCCTGTTCCTGCTGCCTGCTCCTGCTGCTGCCTGTCCCTGCTGCCTGCTCCTGCTGCTGTCTGTTGCTGCTGCCTGTTCCTGCTGATGCCTATTCCTGCTGCCTGTTCCTGCTGCCGCTCCTGCTGCTGTCTGTCCCTGCTGCCTGCTCCTGCTGCTCCTCCTACTGCATGTGCCGCTGCTGCTGTTCCTGCTGCTGCCTGTTCCTGCTGCCGCTCCTGCTGCTGCCTGTCCCTGCTGCCTGCTCCTGCTGCTGTCTGTTCCTGCTGCCTGCTCCTGCTGCTGTCTGTCCCTGCTGCCTGCTCCTGCTGCTCCTCCTACTGCATGTGCCGCTGCTGCTGTTCCTGCTGCTGCCTGTTCCTGCTGCCGCTCCTGCTGCTGCCTGTCCCTGCTGCCTGCTCCTGCTGCTGTCTGTTCCTGCTGCCTGCTCCTGCTGCTGCCTGTTCCTGCTGATGCCTATTCCTGCTGCCTGTTCCTGCTGCCGCTCCTGCTGCTGTCTGTCCCTGCTGCCTGCTCCTGCTGCTCCTCCTACTGCATGTGCCGCTGCTGCCGCTCCTGCTGCTGCCGCTCCTGCTGCTGCCTGTCCCTGCTGCCTGCTCCTGCTGCTCCTACTTCTACATGTGCCGCTGCTGCTGTTCCTGCCGCTGCCGCTCCGCGGGCTCCCAGGCTGCACCTGTCTCTACGGCTCGGCTCTTTCAGACACGTATGTAACCTGGCTCACGGAGACAAGCGGCGCACGCTGGCGTGACACGTCTGTTGTTCGTATGAATCGCTTTGTGGTGCTGCTGCTGCTGCTAATGCTGCTCCTGCTGCTTCATACTGCTACCGCTACTGCTGCCGCTACTGCTGCTATTGCTGCCGCTGCTGCTTCATACTGCTACTGCTACCGTGCTGCTGCTGCTTCTTTACTTTGACACCTCTCTTCACTTCGCATCTCTTTTACTGAAACACTACACACAACAGCTTCAACTATATTCTACTGCGGTGGCTTTGATACAGGATTATTGCTGTTATTATCTACGGATGCTGCAACCGCTGCTGCTGCTGCTGCTTCATACTGCTACTGCTGCTACTGCTGCTGCTTCCTACTGCTACTGCTGCTCCTGCTAATGCTGCTTCTGCTGCTTCATACTGCTGCTGCTACTGCTGCCGCTGCTGCTGCTGCTTCATGTACTTTGACATCTCTCTTCACTTCGCATCTCTTTTACTGAAACACTAAACAGCTACAACAATATTCTACTGCTCTGGCTTTGATACAGGATTATTGCTGCTATTATCTACGGATGCCGCAGCTGCTGCTGCTTCATACTGCTACTGCTACTGCTGCTGCCTCATACGGCTACTGCTGCTACTACTGCTGCTGCTGCTTCATTTACTTTGCCATCTCTCTTCACTTGCATCTCTTTTACTGAAACACTGAACAGCTACAACAACATTCTACTGCTGTGGCTTTGATACAGAATTATTACTGTTATTTTCTAAGGACGCTGCTGCTGCTGCTGCTGCTGCTGCTGCTACTGCGGCTGCCGCGGCTTGATACAGGACTATTGCTGTTATTATCTGAGGTTACTGCTGCTGCCGCTGCTGCTACTGCTACTGCAACCCACTCTCTCAGAAGCTTATCCTGCTTCTAATGGATGCAGCCCGGCTGAGTATGCCGCGCTGCGCTGGCCTCGTACCTATGCTCCCAGGGTCGCTTCGGCGGTCGTGCTTCATCTCTATACTTAATTTTCTGATCCATCAGATGCAGCTGGCCAAGTAGCTGCGCTGAGCCGTCAATCGGACTCCTAATCAAAGGCATCCATACCTGTATTCTTCACTCTTCTGATCGCAGGCTCCCCATCATGCTGCCCATCCTGCAGCGGCTCTGAGCGGCACTGAACTCCGGCTCATCTTCCAAGTACATGTCTGCCCTCCTCGCAGCATCTTCCTGCTCTCCTTCTATGACTTCTCTGCATAAGCGTTTCACTACTGCTCACTCAACCTTCATGCGGTCCGAGACGCGGCTTCCCGACCATCCTACTATCCTGATTATCTACTCTCCAACCCAAGATTCTAAGCGTAGGGGCGCCTGCAACATCAATGGCCCTCTCCGATATGTCTCTGCTCCTACAGGTCTCCGCTTCTACACGGACGCTGCCCCTTCCGTGGGTTTTGGGGGGTTCTTCCAGGACCATTGGTTTGCCGAGCGTGGCCGCTACTTTCCACCGGAGCATCTCCTCTGCCCTACACGTGATATTCCCAGTGGTCGTGGCCTGCGCGCTGTGTAATCACGCGTGGCAGAGAAAGAGGATCTCTGTCATGTGTGATAATCTCGACGTAGTGGAAGCATTAAACAAAGGTCGCTCTTTTTCACCCAACATGAAGTCCCCTGACCCTTTCAACCTCCGTCTCAAACATTCAAAAATCAAAGGAGCCTGCAATATAGTAATAGCTCGCTCGGACACATCTCTCTGCCCCTACAAAAGCCCATTCTTTCCGGATAGGCGCTGCCACGCGCGCGGCCTCGCTGGGGCTCCCCCACACCTCTCTGCAACAGTTGGGGCGCTGGTCCTCTTCGGCCTTCTCCGCCTACATCAGCCCAGACGCGTCCGCTATCCTGGCTGCACAACGTCTACTGGCTTCTTCGTAAGCTCCCAGCAAAGCAATACAAAGCAAAGTAAGTGAAGCAATAGGATTTCTGGTGGCGGCACGCACTTTTAAAGATAACTCTGCTACAGCGTCTGGTACCGATCGTGATGCGAGCGCTCACGTCCCAGGCAGCGTCCGGTTGATCGTGATGCGAGCGCTCACGTCCCGGCGCTTAAAGATAACTCTGCTGCAGCGTCTGGTACCGATCGTGATGCGAGCGCTCACGTCCCAGACAGCGTCCGGTTGATCGTGATGCGAGCGCACACGTCCCGGCGCTCAAAGATAACTCTGCTACAGTAACTCTGCTACAGCGTCTGGTATCGATCGTGATGCGAGCGCTCACGTCCCAGACAGCGTCCGGTTGATCGTGATGCGAGCGCTCACGTCCCAGACAGCGTCCGGTTGATCGTGATGCGAGCGCGCACGTCCCGGCGCTCAAAGATAACTCTGCTACAGTAACTCTGCTACAGCGTCTGGTATCGATCGTGATGCGAGCGCTCACGTCCCGGCGCTTAAAGATAACTTCACCGCAGTTCTGGTACCGATCGTGATGCGAGCGCTCACGTCCCAGACAGCGTCCGGTTGATCGTGATGCGAGCGCTCACGTCCCGGCGCTCAAAGATAACTCTGCTACAGCGTCTGGTATCGATCGTGATGCGAGCGCTCACGTCCCAGACAGCGTCCGGTTGATCGTGATGCGAGCGCTCACGTCCCGGCGCTCAAAGATAACTCTGCTACAGCGTCCGGTCGATCGTGATGCGAGCGCTCACGTCCCGGCGCTTAAAGACAACTCTGCTACAGCGTCTGGTATCGATCGTGATGCGAGCGCTCACGTCCCAGGCAGCGTCCGGTTGATCGTGATGCGAGCGCTCACGTCCCGGCGCTCAAAGATAACTCTGCTACAGCGTCCGGTCGATCGTGATGCGAGCGCTCACGTCCCGGCGCTTAAAGACAACTCTGCTACAGCGTCTGGTATCGATCGTGATGCGAGCGCTCACGTCCCAGGCAGCGTCCGGTTGATCGTGAAGCGAGCGCTCACGTCCCGGCGCTTAAAGATAACTCTGCCCGTTTTTGGGGATTATGCGCGCGAGCAAGCGCCGCACTCAACAGCATCTCTCCCGGGCCTAGGGCGCCAAACATACTCAATCAACAAACTTCTAACTGCATTTTCCCTCTTGGGTCTCTCCAAAGTGAAATGTAATAATAGATTACACAAATATGTGGGTTTTCATTGTAGGTGAAGTGTCTGCTCTAAACAACCCGGTGATGTAGGAGGAATGAAAGTGACCTCTTTTGTATCCTGCCCTTCCTCTGCTCTGATAAGACCGCCGCCCCCTGTGGGAGGCGACGAGAACTGACAAAACTCTCACAGCTCCATCTGGACTCTCTCTTCCATAGAAGTCTCTGCTCTCCATTATCCTCTGGAGGGCTGAGAGGCCTGACGTCTATATTCAACTGCAAGATCCAGTCATGAGCAAGGACTGTTCTCCATCCATTGCCCTCACGACCCAAGGACTGCCATCGATCAACGCCACATTCTGGTTGTGCTGCTCCATAGTTGTTGGCTTTCTAAAACCTACACTTTAAACTAAGAACACTTAGTCCCTCACAAAGACTACTACATGGCACAGACTGGTTGCCTCGCTTCTGTCAGTGTGCCCCAGGGCAGCTGTGGCTACAGTAGTAGTTTATCACCACCGTGTTTGGAGAGACAGAATAATGACATGTAAAGAGTCTTTGAGTGTCCAGAAAAGCGCTGTTTAAAACCAATGCATTATTATTATTATTCTTGACAATTTGCATATTTCATAACTGTATTACATATACTGCAATAAATCTACAAAACCATCTTTGTCTGAAAGTGATATTTGTACTGATTTGTAAAACAATTCATTACCTTCAGATTCTATTGAAGAGAATTGGACTTCCTAGCTAATTAAATAATTAGTAAGTAAGTAAGTAAGTAATCTTTATTTATATACCGCCTTTCACAGACCAGAGTCACAAAGCGGTTTACAATTGTAATTAATTACTCATATGATTACAGAATCAATAAATGAACCAATTAATAGATAACGTGCATATGACGTCACATTATCAGTTGTGATTGATTCAATGGTGCCCCTAAACATAGCTATTATCAATTATTGTATTTGCTACATGATTGTTTTGATCCAATTCTCCGATATCAAAAACATAACTTAAGATATGTGTGATATCGACTTCAATAACCCCAACAGTGATAATAAAAACACCTCAGCTATGCCATCGAGCCTTGTACAGCAAATTCAGACCAGGGTGGACCTGTCTCGGGTAGGTCATTATATTTCATGATAAACTCCCTCTCTGGGGAGTCATACGTGACGGTCTCCAATGCCAAGGCAGTGCTCCACCGGTTTCGTACAGATTTGCAGAGACCAGGACACTCAACTCACAAAAGAGATGGAGACCACTATAATGACCGATCTTGATGACAAATATGCTGGTTCTGAAACAGATGATCTCCTCAACATTGCTGTCTTTGTGGATCCCAGATTCAAAACACAGCACATCAGCCCGGAAAAGGTAGAGGTGTCTGAAATGTTGGACGAAGACTCCGGCCAATCGGAGACAGAGATTTCAGCGGGAACAGGAGGCCAGGGTGCAGAATGAGACGCTGCTACATCTCTTTCACTGATTGTGAAGAAACAACACAAATCATTAAGTATTTTCTTCAAATAACAAAGTCAAGAAGATTAAGACGATGCCTCACCTCTCACTGAAAGGCAAAAAGAGGAAAATTAGCTGAAAAGCTACTTAAAAACGCCTGGATGCTGACATGAGTCTGAAATACTTGAGTTGTGGAATGAAAAGTATTTCAGCCATACCACCCAGCCCCATGTGGACCTCCATCAACACGGACGCCTATCTCGCTGTGACTGGTCATTTTATTGATGAGACCACTGCTCTGCAGACTCTTGTCCTTGGGGTGCAGCCTTTCCCTGAGGCTCATACAGCAGCAAATATAGCAAGAGTGAAGACCTCTCTCATATCTGAGTGGGGTTTAGCTGAAAAGGTGACCTGTCTGGTGACTGACGGTGCTGCCGATGTGGGAGCTTGTGCTCGAGAGCTACATTTGCGCACACATTTTGTGTGTCACACAGTCTAGAGCAGGGCCGGAGTGGGACAACATTTCAGGCCGGGAGCTTTTCATCCATTCAGGCCAAACAAGGTTCTAAATTTGTGTTTTTGTCATTGTATTTTGATGTTCTTTTAATAGTTTTAAGATTGACTGTCAAAACTTTTGTTTTCTTTATTTTTTTTAATATTGACTGTTTATATAATCTCGGACGTTTAAGGATTGTTGTACGTTGCTTAGCAACGTAACGTTTATGGAGTTTAGTGAGAATAAAGACACACACACACACACACACACAATGAACTAAGTGTTCATTAGTGTATAACTATAACAAGCTAATCAATTATTGTTAAAAAAGTAGTAAGGTAAAATCACATCGTTACAGCTCATATAAAAGGACAAATAACAACGTGTATGAACCATCAGTTGGAGAGACCACTCATTTCAACCGGGGAGGCTACACTGGGTGCACTGCTAGGCTGGCCTGGCTGTGTAGCCGACGTGTGACGTCACATTTGTTTAATTTTGCTCTGGCCCAATGACAGTAAAGCTTTGGCCAGTGTTGTGCCAGTTCACAGCTTTTCTGAACTAGTTCAAGTTCAGTTCATACATGCTCAAAGTGAACAGTTCACGTTCGAAGTTCTCAATTTTAATTCTGAACTAGTTCAAAGTTCAGTTCATTTTACTTTTTGCGAGATATTCAAATAAATATTTTTTTTCACTACGAGCTAGAAATCACAATACGTGGTATATATATATATATATATATATATTATATCCTGTACACTGCACAGGATGTTTTGACTCCAATGCAGACAAGATTTACATGGGTTTCAATGGGAACTGAGTTGTCCCATCTCTGCTCATAAGTACAAACTGTAATGCGCTGCAGAACGTGTGTCTATACTTTATGTCAAATGTAAACGGCCCTGTGTCACTGACTTACCCCTGTGTTTTCATCACGGCACATGTGAGTCCAACAACCAATGAATAGCACTAGCATACAGCGCCGCACCGCAAGTAGTACACTGAGTCGGGGTGCGTTCACAGACGGTGGAAACCGTAGGAATTTTTAGTTTTCAGTGCGGAGAATACAGGAGGGAGGAACTTTCTCTCGTTGCGTTTCAAAAGAGAAAACAGATTTCACTCAGTTTTAAATGGAAAACAAATTGTCTGCCGTTCATGACACATAATATGAACTAATTCACGTTCAAGTTCTTTATTAAAAAATGTGTTGCGTTCAGTTCAACGTTCACGAAAAAATGAGCGTGTTCAATGAACGCGTTCTTTTGAACTCGTTCACGCACAACACTGGCTTTGGCCTGGGCCTTGCTCATTGGACCAGGCCACCAGGCAGGGTAGGAGTTTGCAAAGACCGTGAGGATGAAATAAAATTAAAAGAAAAAAAAAACAAAAAAAAAAAAAAAAAGAAAAAAAGACCGTGATGATAGGGCAGGCCCAGGCCACTTTGACACGCAGGCCACCGGGAGATCTCCCGATGCTCCCGATGGCCAGTCCGGGCCAGGTCTAGAGCCTGTGACCACAGGGTCCCTGCGTTTTCTCTGTCCACTAAAAACATGCCCACTGTGCTACGGCAGAGGGCCTGTGGCACCACCCGGATGGGTCAAATCCTCCTTTGGAGACAATAAAGTATAACTAAGTTATATATGGCCAACATCTGTGTATGTTTATCCACAGTCCTAAGCTTCAGTCTAAGCTCTCACTTATAAGACAACCTTGGGTGCAATACACAAAGAGTTGTGCAATGTTGTTTAGCGCTGGCCATTCATTGGGGTTATATTTGTTTTATCTTTTGTTGATATAGTTGATTTTAACCCGTCTTTACAAAAAGACAGAGAAAGACATTTTTCTGCAACTTGGAAGTTTGTTCATGAGTTTTTGAAAATAATATTACTATGTATGATTACCAGTATCTGAAAGTGAGGCGTTCCACCTGTGCCCCTTCAGGCTGTTGCGCAGCTACGGCAGGTACGGCAGGTACACATTGGTCCAGTCTTGTGGTGAAAGGTTGAGTTTCTTCAGACTTCCCACACGACTCGCTTCTCGAACATCTGAAATATTGAATAAGTATAAACAGCATAAGATCCCTGCAAAGACTTCTGTTGTCACACAATGGTGTGTTGCCAAAATGCACAAAGAACTTCCATTTCCACATTCACTTTAAAACGAGCAGTGAGTCTCTGGTCAAATCCTTTTAAAGACATGTTTAGAGTTTAATTAGATTGTAATACAAAGTACATACAATAAAACACAAGATGTGTACTGACTTGTTGGAAAGAGAACACCACCGACAATGAGGATCTCCGGAGCCCACACAATCCAAACACGAGCCGTACTGGTCACATGACTCCACCGGTAAACGGGTCACCTGCAGAGGAAGATTATAGATAATAATAATAATAATAATAGATACATAAGGGGCAGAACAGGCAGACCTTTCACACATCGTAGTTGTTTTCATGAAGAGATGTTTTATGTTTTGTCAGCGAGTACTTTTACAGAAGACGGTTTGTTAAAAACAAAGATATATAATGTTATTTTCAAAGCCGTCAGACCTTTTTAATGTCTGTTTATTGTTGTAGATCATTCTGATGAATGTACCTCATTATCAGTGTGCATTTTCCTTTAGCCAAGTCATTCTGATACACAGTACAGCCATTGTACAAGCGCTGATTTAAACTTAACTGAACTTCAACGACTTCTCGCTCATTTCAACAATTGTGGCGCCCCATTAGCACAGTCAATTCAAAGATTGTGAGGTCAGATGAGACCGAAATAGAGGCTTTTGGTAAATTACCAAAGTGTCTGCATGTATCCATAGTAATCTCTGGGTCACCTGGTTCTGGCTGAGCACGTAGATGAAGCGACAGTCTGGACTCAACCCCATGTCTCTGAGAATAGGCTCTCTCTCTGTCACGTTCAGCGTCTCGTACAGCAAAGCATCCTGGGAGTTTGAAGCGCTGTCTACTCGGAGCTTAAATAAACCACACAAACACAAAAATATGTAAATTAATGTCTATGATGTAAGCATTTTCAAAATCCCACTTGGCTCACCTTCTTTAAATGTCCAGTCCTTGTCCCCACAAAGATTAGGGTGTCCTCCCCGTAGGTGCACCCAGCCACTGCCCCCATGCCCTGGGTGCGGTCCTGGTGTAGGGGGTGTCCCTGGATCACTCGGTCCCCTCCCAGAGGCTGGTTAAAGTCCATGCCACAGAAGTGTTCTCCAATCTCTACAGGCTGAGAACCACAGACACAGTATCAATCAATCAATCAATCAACTTTATTTGTATGGCGCCTTTCCAACACAAGGCCACTCAAAGCGCCTCACAACCCACATAATATCACACAAATCAGAGACATCAATAAATACATTAAAAACAGAATAAAATCACAAGTAATAAAAAAAAAAAAAAAAAAAAACTTAAAATATTAAAAGCACACACGGGATTAAAATAATAAATAACCACAATGCATTAAAAAAAAAGTATGTATCAATAAAATCCTTCAGCCGTATGCACAGCTAAAAAGAACAGTTTTTAGCCCTGATTTAAAAATTGCCAGAGTAGATGCTAGCCTCACATCTTCAGGAAGATTGTTCCAGATTTTAGCTCCATAAATCTCAAACGCTGCCTCCCCATGTTTAGTTCTGACTCTTGGAACCAGTAAGAGGCTACCTCCTGTGCTCCTCAGAGTCCGGGCCGGTTCATATGGGACTAACAAGTCGCTTAAGTACCCTGGTGCGAGGCCATGGAGAGACTTGTACACAAGCAGTGCTGCTTTGAAGTCTATTCTCTGAGCCACAGGAAGCCAGTGCAGAGACCTGAGAACTGGACTAATGTGGTCATATTTCCTGGTCCTGGTCAGGACTCGAGCTGCAGCATTTTGGACATACTGCAGTTGTTTTACAGCCTGTTTGGAGAGACCTGTGAGCAGGCCATTGCAGTAGTCTAACCTACTGGAGACAAATGCATGGATGAGAATCTCCAGATCTGATTTAGACACTATGTTTCTAATTTTGGCAATGTTTTTCAGATGGTAAAATGCTGCTGATGTTACTGATGTTAAAATTTAAGTCTGAGTCCATTATAACTCCTAGGTTTAGTAGTAGGTGTTTGAGAAAACAAAAGCAGTCGTCCATCAGGAATCACAATCAATCTCCAGGGGACATTGAAACATTGAAACTAGATTATTATTTCCACTGTGTGTGATCGTCATATACACAATAAAAAAAACAGCATGCCTTGTGTGTAAAGATGTTAGCAGCCTCAACATCCAAAGAAATATTTACTGCTTGGAGAATAAGGTTTGGGTTTACCCCCTCAGTAAGAACAACTGCATCAAACTGGGAGAAATATTTTTGAAGACCATTTGTCTCATTGGTCAGGTTACAGGTTTCAATAATGCTGTCCAGGGCGAGATGCCACAACACGACCAGCTGCAATGCAGGCGCTCCAGCGAGTCTTAGACAATTAAGAGAGCCCATCTCTCAGGACTGGCAAAGTGTGTAGAGACAATTAATACACCCAAAGTGGAAATCTCAGGCCAGGATTGTGCAGCATGGACTCCCACCAGATTCAGAGCATAACATTCGCATGGACAAAATGTGGCGAGTGGATTTTCTTGCAAAACATATTTGCCCCATTGTTGTACCCTTGCCCTCTGGACTCTTCCATTGTTGTTCCCTTGCCCTCTGCACTCTTCCATTGTTGTACCCTTGCCCTCTGCACTCTTCCATTGTTGTACCCTTGCCCTCTGGACTCTTCCATTGTTGTTCCCTTGCCCTCTGCACTCTTCCATTGTTGTACCCTTGCCCTCTGCACTCTTCCATTGTTGTACCCTTGCCCTCTGCACTCTTCCATTGTTGTACCCTTGCCCTCTGGACTCTTCCATTGTTGTACCCTTGCCCTCTGCACTCTTCCATTGTTGTTCCCTTGCCCTCTGGACTCTTCCATTGTTGTACCCTTGCCCTCTGCACTCTTCCATTGTTGTACCCTTGCCCTCTGCACTCTTCCATTGTTGTACCCTTGCCCTCTGCACTCTTCCATTGTTGTACCCTTGCCCTCTGGACTCTTCCATTGTTGTACCCTTGCCCTCTGCACTCTTCCATTGGTGTGCCACTGCCTTGAACCATCCTGAAATGTCTTTTCCTGTATTTTTATAAAAATCTTTACTGTCTACCAAGCAAAGACAACATGTGTTTCCAGAGGATCTCCATCATCCTCTTGTTCACTGGAGAAGCACTCAGTCGTTTTACTGCAAATGCCAAATAAATGAATCTGAATCTATTGTTTCAAATTGGTCACAGAGATTAGTCTTTAGCTGTACCCTCTCTGCGTCTGTCTCCACCAAGTGCACAGTTAATCCCAAGAAATCCCGTCTGCATTTAGTCCGACCAGATGTTCAGTGACGGAAACATGGTCAGTGTTGCTAAATTGAGTTTTTAATCTAATAGTTTCTCCCCAGTGAGGCTTTCTGTTTTTGCAGTGAGTGTTCTGTGACACACTGGGCCGTACTTACTGTCCATCACTGACAGAAAGTGACGAAAGCTTTTTTTCCACAATGGACTGTTTGGCATTGGTGATGGCTTTCTTGCTGTAACGCCCTACACGAGTCTCCAGAAAGTGAGAGATTGAAGGCTGTCGTGGTTCTTTTACATAGATACTTTATTGATCCCTGTAGGGGAAATTCAGGTGTTCAGTCGCAGCAAAAATAAAACCGGTGGTTATTCTAAAAAGCAAACAATTGTAATAATCAGTGACAGTCATTCAGGTCACAGCAGCAGAGATAGAGCCGCTCGGTTCAGACCATTTTCTCTGCTCTGGTCCAGAGTAAAATGCTAAGAGTAAAAGAGGATACTGATGGAGCCTTATCTCCTCGGGTTGTTCCAAAGCTGAGGAACCCGGACAGAGAAGGCTCGGTCACCTTTCGTCCGGAGCCTCGACCTTGGAACAGTCAACAGGGACCTGCCTGAGGATCTAAGGCAGGTCACTCTGGAAGATCAGCAAACAGTAGATGCTGCTATGGCAAAGAAACAGCGCCTGCAGTGTTCTGCACACACCCTGCAGCTGGTTCTGGGAGACGGTTGTATGTAGATTCTTATTTATGCATGTATTTTGGATTTTATTCTGCTTTAACTTTAACGAGAGCCAAAGCAATTTCCTATTTCGTGACTTATTACTCACATGGCAATAAAAGGATTCTGAAAGAAACAAAAGTGGCAACTTCTCTTACTACATAAACAAAACCTAGCTCACTGCCCTCTGGACTCTTCCATTGTTGTACCCTTGCCCTCTGCACTCTTCCATTGGTGTGACACTGCCTTGAACCATCCTGAAATGTCTTTTCCTGTATTTTTATAAAAATCTTTACTGTCTACCAAGCAAAGACAACATGTGTGGCTGTAAGGGACATTCAGACATCTGTTTCATTTGCCTGTTACACATGTGAAGAAAACCAAATGAACAAAACTGTCTTAAACGACAGAAAGTCCTGAGTGTCTCTGAAACAGTTGTTTTGTGTTTTACAATTTTTCTTTTCCTTGCATTTGTTGCTGCAGTTCAGCGTTTATGGTTTTACACTGGTCCAGACCAGAGCAGAGAGGATTCATGGTTTTACACTGGTCCAGACCAGAGCAGAGAGGATTCATGGTTTTACACTGGTCCAGACCAGAGCAGAGAGGATTCATGGTTTTACACTGGTCCAGACCAGAGCAGAGAGGATTCATGGTTTTACACTGGTCCAGACCAGAGCAGAGAGGATTCATGGTTTTACACTGGTCCAGACCAGAGCAGAGAGGATTCATGGTTTTACACTGGTCCAGACCAGAGCAGAGAGGATTCATGGTTTTACACTGGTCCAGACCAGAGCAGAGAGGATTCATGGTTTTACACTGGTCCAGACCAGAGCAGAGAGGATTCATGGTTTTATACTGGTCCAGACCAGAGCAGAGAGGATTCATGGTTTTACACTGGTCCAGACCAGAGCAGAGAGGATTCATGGTTTTACACTGGTCCAGACCAGAGCAGAGAGGATTCATGGTTTTACACTGGTCCAGACCAGAGCAGAGAGGATTCATGGTTTTACACTGGTCCAGACCAGAGCTCAGAGGATTCATGGTTTTACACTGGTCCAGACCAGAGCAGAGAGGATTCATGGTTTTACACTGGTCCAGACCAGAGCAGAGAGGATTCATGGTTTTACACTGGTCCAGACCAGAGCAGAGAGGATTCATGGTTTTACACTGGTCCAGACCAGAGCTCAGAGGATTCATGGTTTTACACTGGTCCAGACCAGAGCTCAGAGGATTCATGGTTTTACACTGGTCCAGACCAGAGCTCAGAGGATTCATGGTTTTACACTGGTCCAGACCAGAGCTCAGAGGATTCATGGTTTTACACTGGTCCAGACCAGAGCTCAGAGGATTCATGGTTTTACACTGGTCCAGACCAGAGCAGAGAGGATTCATGGTTTTACACTCGTTTAGGTCTGGCACCAAGCTATATTTCTGAACTTTTAACCCCCTACGAGCCCTTCCCCCGCAGCCTTAGATCCTCAGGCAGGTCCCTGTTGACTGTTCCAAGGTCGAGGCTCCGGACGAAAGGTGACCGAGCCTTCTCTGTCCGCGCTCCTCAGCTTTGGAACGACCCGAGGAGATAAGGCTCCATCAGTCTCCTCTTTTAAATCTCTTCTTAAAACCCACTTTTATCAAACAGCTTTTAACTGTTAGTTTTAAACTTCACATGCTGTATTTTAATGTCTGCGTTGTCTTTGTTGTGTCTCTTTTGTGTTTTGCTCTGTTTGTGTTTCTGTATCTAATTATTTTGACCTTGTATTTTGACTGTTTTTATTGTTTATCATGCTGACTGTGCAGCGCTTTGTAAACACTGTTTTTAAAAGTGCTATACAAATAAAGATTATTATTATATTATTATTATTACACTGGTCCAAACCAGAGCAGAGAGGATTCATGGTTTTACACTGGTCCAGACCAGAGCAGAGAGGATTCATGGTTTTACACTGGTCCAGACCAGAGCAGAGAGGATTCATGGTTTTACACTGGTCCAGACCAGAGCAGAGAGGATTCATGGTTTTACACTGGTCCAAACCAGAGCAGAGAGGATTCATGGTTTTACACTGGTCCATCCCAGAGCAGAGAGGATTCATGGTTTTACACTGGTCCAGACCAGAGCAGAGAGGATTCATGGTTTTACACTGGTCCAGACCAGAGCAGAGAGGATTCATGGTTTTACACTGGTCCAGACCAGAGCAGAGAGGATTCATGGTTTTACACTGGTCCAGACCAGAGCAGAGAGGATTCATGGTTTTACACTGGTCCAGACCAGAGCAGAGAGGATTCACAGTGCGAAAAATGCTAATGAAGCATTTAGCATTTTACTCTGGACCAGAGCAGAGAAAATGGTCTGAACCGAGCGGCTCTATCTCTGCTGCTGTGACCTGAATGACTGTCACTGATTATTACAATTGTTTGCTTTTTAGAATAACCACCGGTTTTATTTTTGCTGCGACTGAACACCTGAATTTCCCCTACAGGGATCAATAAAGTATCTATGTAAAAGAACCACGACAGCCTTCAATCTCTCACTTTCTGGAGACTCGTGTAGGGCGTTACAGCAAGAAAGCCATCACCAATGCCAAACAGTCCATTGTGGAAAAAAAGCTTTCGTCACTTTCTGTCAGTGATGGACAGTAAGTACGGCCCAGTGTGTCACAGAACACTCACTGCAAAAACAGAAAGCCTCACTGGGGAGAAACTATTAGATTAAAAACTCAATTTAGCAACACTGACCATGTTTCCGTCACTGAACATCTGGTCGGACTAAATGCAGACGGGATTTCTTGGTGTAACTGTGCACTTGGTGGAGACAGACGCAGAGAGGGTACAGCTAAAGACTAATCTCTGTGACCAATTTGAAACAATAGATTCAGATTCATTTATTTGGCATTTGCAGTAAAACGACTGTGTGCTTCTCCAGTGAACAAGAGGATGATGGAGATCCTCTGGATGACCCTGGGCTGTGGTGGGACTTCACTCTGGAAGATCAGCAAACAGTAGATGCTGCTATGGCAAAGAAACAGCGCCTGCAGTGTTCTGCACACACCCTGCAGCTGGTTCTGGGAGACGGTTGTATGTAGATTCTTATTTATGCATGTATTTTGGATTTTATTCTGCTTTAACTTTAACGAGAGCCAAAGCAATTTCCTATTTCGTGACTTATTACTCACATGGCAATAAAAGGATTCTGAAAGAAACAAAAGTGGCAACTTCTCTTACTACATAAACAAAACCTAGCTCACTGCTGCACACAAGCACAACTTTTAAAGATCTTTCTGATGATAACTTTGGGGAGCAGAAGGGCATCCCTGCTGCAGTGATAATGAGATGATGGAGCTCAACACTGGAGCAAGTAAAAGCAGTCCTTCAGTGTAACAACTGGTTATTAATGTTTAATACAATAATGGAGTTGACTTGTAAGTATAGACTAGTGGGATCAGAAGAGTAGGTTCGTTACTGGAGGATCGGAACAGTGAAAAACCAATCAGGAACCAAAAGGTAAGTTTAAGGTCAGTGTATCTTACAAAATATATAAAAGTGAACAATAACCATAACCAAATATTTACAGTGCAAGAAAATATTAATACCGGTGAGCGAGTTCTACTTACTCATCGATCAAAATGCTCGAAAGTAGGCGTGGCTTAGACATTTTTCACAATAAAAGGCCACTGCCTCTGTGGGATCTCTAAAGTCCGAAATAAAGACTCATTTCTCGTAGCGTGTCTGACGAAGGATTGCTATCACATATAATCAACGTAAAGTCAGATGTGTTGTTGCTGTTCCAAATACTGTCTGTGCCTCGGAACTGTTTCCCACAACACTGACCTGAACAGCTGCAAGGTGCGCAGGTTAACCTGGAGCTGAGGTGGGACTGTGGTGTTTCCATTCAATAAACACGCTCACAACATTGATGTACAAACACATGACCAGCGCCTGCTCTCACACAATGTTCTCATAGACTACAGTCATAAGAAATGTTGATGTAGAAACAGAAATCACATGTGGAATTAATGCTGTATGTGATCGCTATCACAAACCAGGAAAAGGACGTTCGGGTTGTATGAATGAGCAATAATGTGACTAATAATGAGCATGCAACTGTGACAGGACGAACATGTGTGTGTGTAAAGCATGACAGCAGCAAGAGGGTGTCACTGAAAGATGACAGCAGACGGCCAAACACATGTTGTATTTGTAGAGTGGGCTAGATCCACCTGCGTGTCCGCGTACTCGCACCCCGCTTCACCTGTCTCCAAAGCATTGTAACGCAATGTCACTGGCAATAGAATGGTACACCCTGTTCCTGTTACCTGTGTCGTGTAGCCACAGACACACACACATAGATCGTACGCTCAGGCGCGGTTTGGTACGTGGTGCAGCGACAGATTAACCTGCTGATGCATCTCCAGATCCTCTTTCAGAGACGTCTCTGCAGCATTTCTCTGTCACTGCAGACATGTGTTTTACGCGTTGCTCGGTCACAATTGTTCCCTTGTGTGCAGTATGACTGGACCAACATAAACATTTGTAATGAGCACAACACTGACATGAGTAGCTGCAAGGTTTGCAGGTGTACCACGTCCACCCCAAATATACATCATTTTGGCCATCTGCTACTGTCAGCGACATGTCCAGCAATCAATATTAATTTGTATGTATATTCATCATCATTTATGGACATTGGTCTTTCTCTATGAACCAATACACATGGGTTCAATATTTCCTGGGTCTTCGCTGTTGATTCTCCAATCTGTGTTGGTGATTTCAACGTGTCTGTGTGGTCCTCTGAGATGACTGCTGCACAGTCCATCTCACACAAGGCACAAATCTTTACATGAAACACACACAAAGATTAAACACCAGGCAAATCACACAGGCAATGAAATAAACAAAACATCACACAAGGGACGCTTAATAACCACAGTGCATAACAAAATGGAGATACAATTCCTCGCACACACAACCCTCATCATAACCTGCATTTGAACATGGTCTTCCCCCACATGTTTAGTCTTGACTGTGGGCGCCAGCAGAGTCAGACTGATCATATGGCACCAACATGTCACAGATGTACCCTGGTGCGGGGCCGTGTTGAATCAGGCCTCCAACTCCATGAATCCAATTAAGTCCAATAGCTGGGAGCTAAGGTGAGCCCATAGTCTCACGTTACTACTCAGGAATAATATACTAATAGACATGTATACTCAATGACTGGATGTCATGTTCTGGGCTGTTATTGCCTGATCATTTTACCAGTTATGTGCACATTGACATGTTTGTACATTTAGGAATACACACAAAAGGTGAACAAGAATGTTTACAAAGTGTCCCTCTTGCTTGCAGTACTTGAAGTTGCTTGTGAAGAGACTAAATGGCCCAATTCGGCTCCACAACACATGGTGCTCATGCTTGCTGTGATCAGCTGTAGAACTGGAATACAGACAGAGGTGTGAACAACATTTTGAGATTCATGCTCCACTAACAACCCTCCATAACAGGTTCCCCAAAGTCACACACGTTTCTCACAGTGCCATCAGGGGCTTCAGGCTGGCGGTCTCCTCATCTTCGCTGTCCATACGGAACACCCACTTTGTTGCCTATGTCCTTGGCGTCTATTTGATTCATATTCCCCATCAAACCATTGGTGGAAGGGTGGGAGGGGAAACACATACTGAGCTTCACCCCTAGTTGTCTGCATACTACTGTAATCAACGGAATTCACAAGCAATGACACAATCCTGAACACGAACAGCCTTATTCTTCCATAGGCCTACCTTATTGATAAATTCAGTGCCACGGTCTGTGAGGATCCTCTGTGGGGTGCCAAAGCAATAGAAATTTGGCACTCAGAGCACTGCTTCACCTTTTGTTAGTAATAATAGCAATAAAAGAAATCCACATCAAGATTTTACATTATTGAGGTCAAAGCCACTGAGTGCATTATATAGACAGTCAATAGGCCCAAACATACCCATGACTGAATGTCTCTCTCCATTTTAGGCCAGTAATAACGTGCAATCAAGTAGATGGAAGTTTGAAGTAAATCACAGGTCTCACAGAGCATCAGCCCCTCACTGGTCCCCCTGCAGGTGGTGAGTCAAGGAGGATGGCTCTTTTGATTAGATTCAGGTGTGATATTACTTTGTTAGAGTATAAAAGGTCACCATAGATATTTATCATTCTCCCATCCACTTGTGATCACGGTAGTTCCTAGAGAGTCAGCAGTTTAGCAATAGTACATTTAGATTGAGCCAGTGAGCCAGTGTTAGTTTATTTGATTGAGCCAGTGTTAGTTTATTAGATTGAGCCAGTGAGCCAGTGTTAGTTTATTAGATTGAGCCAGTGAGCCAGTGTTAGTTTATTAGATTGAGCCAGTGAGCCAGTGTTAGTTTATTCGATTGAGCCAGTGTTAGTTTATCATTATGGAACGTACAGAGTTTGATCAACTTTTGGAGTGGTTGGTGCATGGCCGCCTACCCCCTTTTGCGTCGGACATTCAAAAGTCTACTATCAGACGACGGGCTACAAACTATACAATGAAAGGTGAGTGTCAAAGATATTTACTATGTGGGTTGTAGGAAAAAATAATAATTGCTATGTTTCTGTGTACAAGATGGGGCAATGCACTACCTATGCAGACGGAGGAGGGGGGATGCACACTTTGCAAAGGTGGTGCGCTCGGCCAAAGAGGCAAATGATCTATTCATCGAATTTCATGCCAGCCCTACTGGAGGCCACTGTGGCTGGGAAAAACCCCACCGGGCCATCATAGCACGTTATTACTGGCCTAAAATGGAGAGACATTCAGTCATGGGTATGTTTGGGCCTATTGACTGTCAATATGATGCACTTTGTGGTATTGTCATCAATAATGTCAAATATTTATGAGGATTTCTCATATTGCTATTTTTACTAATACAAGGTGAAGCAGTGCACTGAGGGCCAAAGGAGAAGAGCCAATTTGAAGGCCAAAGTTCAGTACCAGCCCATTGAGGTAATGAATCCAATGTCTTTCTCAGTTTTGCATGTTTCAGATCATGTCGATCATGTTGTATCTATAGGTCACTGAGCCATTTGAATTGGTCCGGATGGACCTGGTGGGGAAGCTAAACCCGACTCCCCAAGGCCACCAATACATCTGCGTGATGATAGATTATTATACTAAGTGGGTGGAGGCCTTTCCTCTGAAGACCAAAACTGCAGAAGAGGTGACTGGCTGCTTGCTGGAGTTTTTGTATTGCTTCGGCGCCCCAAATAGGATCCTTACAGACCGTGGCACTGAATTCATCAATAAGGTAGGCTGAGGGAAGAATAAGCCTGTTCGTATTCAAGATTGTGTCATAATTGCATGTGAATTCAGTTGAATACAGCAGTATGCGAAAAACAAGGGGTGAAGCGCAGTATGTGCTCCCCCTACCACCCTTCCACCAATGGCTTGGTGGAGAAGATGAATGGGACCATTCAGAGGTGAGAAATCGTCTTTATTCTCTGTAGATATTCATAATTGTATGTTGTATCAGTGCCTTAATGCTTTGCACGTCATCCTTCTCCATCTCATGATTGAGACTAATAATGCATTTATCTGTTTTACGGAGGTGCCTTAATACAATGGTGGGGGATCATCCTAATACATGGGAGGAGTACCTCCAGGCCACAATGTTCGCATTGAGAACAAAAATGCAGCTGTGGCCTGGCCTGCAGACCCTAGGGGTCAAGCAGGGTGTAGCCTTAGCCAATAACAGCAAGAGTCAGCAGAAGAGGCAGCAAAAGAGGGAACTCACTGGCCAGGATGACCAGTTCCGTGTGGGGGACTTTGTGCTGGTCAAAAACATACGCCAAGAGCAGAGGAAAGGCGGCAAACTGGAGAGGGACATGCTGGGGCCTTTCCGCATCTTCAGCTTGGATGGGAAGACTGCCAGCCTGAAGGCCCCCGATGGCACTGTACGAAAGTGCATGAGCATCGACCATATGACTCCATATATAGTTCCTTGCTCTAGGATTCCAGCGAATCTCAAGGGGGATGTAGGAGAGATGGAAGTGGTCCCCCCACCTTCTCTGAACGTGGCCGACCTACCTCCACTGGACCTGAGCTGTCCCCAGAAGCTGGACCTGGGTACTCCACCTCCACTGCGCCTGGGTACTCCACCACGAATAGACCTGGGCACTCCACCTCCGCTGGACCTCAGCGCTCCCCAAAAGGTGGACACTAACATTCATCTTTGCAGATTGCATGCGGTCTATGTGGTCGTTGGTACCACCTCAAATGTATGGGGTTCCCACCAGTCGAGGAGCCCTATAGCGGTCCATATTGCCAATAAAAGAATTGAAACCGTGCAAGCATTTGTGTGTTCGTTTTTTACATATCTTAATTGAAGACACTTTCATGTGATTGCGATGGATTGGTTGAGCATGGCAAGGGTTGACTTGGGGTGTTGAGTACTGCAAGCAAGAGGGACACTTTGTAAACATTCTTGTTCACCTTTTGTGTGTATTCCTAAATGTACAAACATGTCAATGTGCACATAACTGGTAAAATGATCAGGCAATAACAGCCCAGAACATGACATCCAGTCATTGAGTATACATGTCTATTAGTATATTATTCCTGAGTAGTAACGTGAGACTATGGGCTCACCTTAGCTCCCAGCTATTGGACTTAATTGGATTCATGGAGTTGGAGGCCTGATTCAACACGGCCCCGCACCAGGGTACATCTGTGACATGTTGGTGCCATATGATCAGTCTGACTCTGCTGGCGCCCACAGTCAAGACTAAACATGTGGGGGAAGACCATGTTCAAATGCAGGTTATGATGAGGGTTGTGTGTGCGAGGAATTGTATCTCCATTTTGTTATGCACTGTGGTTATTAAGCGTCCCTTGTGTGATGTTTTGTTTATTTCATTGCCTGTGTGATTTGCCTGGTGTTTAATCTTTGTGTGTTTCATGTAAAGATTTGTGCCTTGTGTGAGATGGACTGTGCAGCAGTCATCTCAGAGGACCACACAGACACGTTGAAATCACCAACACAGATTGGAGAATCAACAGCGAAGACCCAGGAAATATTGAACCCATGTGTATTGGTTCATAGAGAAAGACCAATGTCCATAAATGATGATGAATATACATACAAATTAATATTGATTGCTGGACATGTCGCTGACAGTAGCAGATGGCCAAAATGATGTATATTTGGGGTGGACGTGGTACACCTGCAAACCTTGCAGCTACTCATGTCAGTGTTGTGCTCATTACAAATGTTTATGTTGGTCCAGTCATACTGCACACAAGGGAACAATTGTGACCGAGCAACGCGTAAAACACATGTCTGCAGTGACAGAGAAATGCTGCAGAGACGTCTCTGAAAGAGGATCTGGAGATGCATCAGCAGGTTAATCTGTCGCTGCACCACGTACCAAACCGCGCCTGAGCGTACGATCTATGTGTGTGTGTCTGTGGCTACACGACACAGGTAACAGGAACAGGGTGTACCATTCTATTGCCAGTGACATTGCGTTACAATGCTTTGGAGACAGGTGAAGCGGGGTGCGAGTACGCGGACACGCAGGTGGATCTAGCCCACTCTACAAATACAACATGTGTTTGGCCGTCTGCTGTCATCTTTCAGTGACACCCTCTTGCTGCTGTCATGCTTTACACACACACATGTTCGTCCTGTCACAGTTGCATGCTCATTATTAGTCACATTATTGCTCATTCATACAACCCGAACGTCCTTTTCCTGGTTTGTGATAGCGATCACATACAGCATTAATTCCACATGTGATTTCTGTTTCTACATCAACATTTCTTATGACTGTAGTCTATGAGAACATTGTGTGAGAGCAGGCGCTGGTCATGTGTTTGTACATCACTGTTGTGAGCGTGTTTATTGAATGGAAACACCACAGTCCCACCTCAGCTCCAGGTTAACCTGCGCACCTTGCAGCTGTTCAGGTCAGTGTTGTGGGAAACAGTTCACGATTCACAGACAGTATTTGGAACAGCAACAACACATCTGACTTTACGTTGATTATATGTGATAGCAATCCTTCGTCAGACACGCTACGAGAAATGAGTCTTTATTTCGGACTTTAGAGATCCCACAGAGGCAGTGGCCTTTTATTGTGAAAAATGTCTAAGCCACGCCTACTTTCGAGCATTTTGATCGATGAGTAAGTAGAACTCGCTCACCGGTAACAACGGAAGTCCAATAAATCAAAACAACTACGATCTTAGTCCAACCCGTACTCCAGGGGGTTTGAGCAGTACCATACTGCCCACACGGTGGCGCACCACAGAAAGTCCAGTGAGTGTTATCGGCAGAAAGTGAAGTATGTCCAAGCGCGGTTATATTGCAGAGTTTGAATATGGAGTGGTGTAAAACCCACGACGGGTGGGAGAAGGAGACAGGCTGAGCCTCCTACCAGACCAGTAGTGTTGACTAAAGACAACGATGGACTGTTCCAGGCACTTCTCTCTAGCTCGCCATCACCTGACCCGGAGTTGGGTCACCTGGCCAGTTCAGTTCAAATCCCTGCCCATGAACAGTCACCAATCCACAAAACAATGGACACTAGTGATGTGCTGAGCGGGCCGAGTCTTCGAAGCGTGGACCGAGTAATCTGGGGGCGTTTCTTTTGAAGTGTGGGTCGAGGCGTGTATTGGTCACGTGTGTGATGACGTTCGAAGCCTCGCGAACGTGACTGATTCAGGAAATGATTCGTTGGTTTGGAGCGCGATTCGAAATAAAAGGGACGAGTGAACGCAATGGATTCCCCTTCATCACTTTGTGTGTTTTTGGGTTATTGCGCTTCTCATTTGGCATCCTATTTGAGCTTCTTTTTTGCGATGGAACCGGCAAGAAAGAGAAGATTTTCTCCAGTTTGGGAGCACTTTGAGCAGATCTCACCTAATAAGGTAAGGCATATCAATAATTCTGTAATAATAGATTACACAAATATGACAACACATAATTTCTCTTGCTCACTTTTCTCTGTTATAAATACGTTTGAATAATAGTTTTTTCAATTGCAGGTGAAATACTGTGTAAAAAAAGAAATCGCCTGAGTCCAAATACTCTTGAAAAAATATTATTTTTGAATAAAAATGAATAACTGTATTGTTTGTTTTTCAACTCCTGTCAATAGTTGCATAAGCACTTACATAAACAAAGTAACACAAGCACATTTTACATAACAACTGTCTCCACATCATTGGCTGTATTCTTTCAGCCCATGTTCAGACCCTACCATTTGTTATAGGCCCTTGGCATGTATTACATTTCTGTGTCCACATGATGGCGTAGTGGAGCATGATTCACCTCGAGCCTTCGACTCATGGTCAGCACTAGATCATATACGGAATCGGGACGGAAGCGGAAGTAAATATAAAAAACGACCTATTCATGCCTAAACTTAACCAGCCATTCCCATAAAATAACCTCAACCCAGCCTTAACCCTAACCTTAACCATCTTACTCAGACGCCTAAAACTTAACCAGTCACCACTTAAGGACTTATTAGTCTAAAACTAATTTGAAAGTAGGATTGTTACTTCCGGTTTCGTCCCGATTCCGTATATGATCTAGTGCCGACCTTCGACTCATGGGCCGAGTAATAGGCTGCGATCCCTCAAGGCTTCATGGGGCTTCATATTGCCATCACTAATGGACACTATGGACTCTGCAGCTGCTGTCTCCTGGCTTCTCTCCCACCACAGTGAAGAGAGGAGCCAGGGCAGCTTTCACCTCTGTCTGATTAGCGCTCACTCACTTCAGGTGTGGAGCAGGAGCATGTCATGCAGCCTGCAGAGAAAACCAGGAATGAACCAGGAGTGCAGGGGAAAACCTGGACTGGATTTTAATCCTGGGTTACACATGTGCTGTTCTTGAAAAGGCTGGGCATAAGAAGCTGTCATTCACACCATGAGAGTGGAATCTGTTGAAGGAGTTGGTGGACATCTTGAAATCGTTTGGGGAAGCAACTGATTTGACGCAGGGGGAGATCATCACAATGCAGTTATTCCATCTGTCTCGTCCCTCAAACACCAAAGAAGCTAAAGCCTCAAGTTTCCTGAGCAGCCTGGTTAGAAGTCTCCTGGCATCCCTGAACAAAAAGATTCCTTGGGATTTTTATTTTTATGAAAATGGCCCAGTATCAAGAAGGAACCACTGCCCCCTTCTCAGACCTACCTGTAAGGTAGGCCTTGGGTCCAGCCTTTGCTCTGTGTGGGAGGAGCCCTAGTGCTGGACAATCGTGATAAAGGCAGAAGTGGCACAACGAGAGTAAATACTATTTACTTTAATGTGTTGATCTTAATCTCATCTAATTGGTTTTAGACTGAAAGATGTCATGATTGTTAGTCAGTCACCAACATGGATGTAATAAGGGCTCTTGTGTTTCTGCTGTCATTACATGCATTTCCAGAACTGATCCTGAAGATGCTGATGCCTGATGAAGAAGAGCAAGAGGACCCCGGAGAAGGAGAGGGGCTGTTAGCTGCATACCATAAGAAAACAGATGTAGGAACCACACCAGCAGTACAGCCAAGTCACTACACTGACAGTTCAGAGGGACAGAAAACCGTTTTGTTCTGGAAACTGAACATGAAAACTCTTGCTTCACTCGCCCAAATGGCCATCAGAGTCTTGGCAGTGCCGCATCTAGTGCTCCACTGTTTTCAGCCATGGCGGCATCATTCTGTGTCCCCATCGTGCACAAATGACTGACAGACATTAGCCATTCTTTTTTCAAAAGCACTGCAGCATACAGGGCTTTGACAGAAAAGCATCTGTTCATTAACATGCATCCCATGTGCCAATCAAATAAATAAATAAATAACCTTCACGTCCATTGCACATTTTTCAAGTAATTTACATTTGTATCCATTTTTTTATGATTCCTTTTTAAATCAAGTGATTTACTTGTGTTAGCCATGTTAATCTTGTGGGAGTTCATCTGCTGCTTTTTCAGACTAGAATGGTCCAATTAGAGCCATCCAAATCAGGGATGTTTAAAATGTCATCAAAAATATATTTTCTTCTTTCTCCACACTATCTCTTTGATCCGTCTGTGTTTGAAATCTTTTTTTTCTATTGTATGATAGTAATTTTCCTTTTTGAGTTGTTTAAAGTCCAGATACTTTGACTCTTTACTGTGAACACATCCATAGACAATGTAGATTTCTGTCAGCGATGGAGCACAGATACAGCTCAGTAAGCCGATCAACAATAAACAGGCGCTTGGGTGAACTTGCATCTGAAATGGAAATGAGGAGTAAAAAAGCTCAAAAAGACTAATTCCATCTCCGTCACAGAGGACAGAGTGGTGCGTTCGAGGATTCTTAGGGGGAACTTCTCATTTTATGGATATGGAAGAAAATGTCCCCAAACTGCAGTGTCTCCTAAAATGTGAGCGTTCCACGAGGGTAACCCACTGGGTCACACACTGGATCACCCACTGTGTCACCCACTGTGTCACCCACTGGGTCACACACTGGGTCACCCACTGTGTCACCCACTGTGTCACCCACTGTGTCACCCACTGTGTCACCCACTGTGTCACCCACTGTGTCACCCACTGTGTCACCCACTGTGTCACCCACTGTGTCACCCACTGGGTCACACACTGGGTCACACACTGGGTCACCCACTGGAGAAGGAAGTTTGAGTACAATGTGTGACATTGGTGCCATTTAGTGTCAGTTCCCCTCCAGCGTCGGATGAAGATGAAGAGGGTGTGGACAATGATACTCTGTGGGAAGATGTTGATGCCCGTCACTTTTCATGCATTCATGTTTTGCTCACATGTTGCAGCAACTGAAGGAAACCAAAATACTGAGCAGTGCAATGGCAAAAAAAACAACAATGTGCAGATTACCTTAGTATTTGGAGCAAACCAAGTCCTTCCAAGTGCTGAATCCACCTGGTGGAAGTTCCTTTTTTGTTTAGTTGCGGCAATAACCAGTTTACATGTGTGTATGAAGCCTCTCATTTAATTCTCACATGTATTTAACATAATACATGTGGAAAACTAATTTAGTGATTTTTGCCATTTTCCAGACTTGGTCATTTTTGAAATGCGCCGACAAAATGCTGACAATGAATTCAATCAAAAGGAAAGCGCTGCAGCAGGAAAAGCAGAACAGTCTGTGTGAGTAGACACTCCTGAAATACAATGTCTCTGGAAGATCTCAGGACAAAGACACGATGCAACTGCACTTTGTTGGAGAACTTCACACATAAAGCTGTTAGCTTAATCTTGTTAGCATCAAAGCCCGCCCACCACTTCCGCTTTGCATTTGTGGCATCGCAGGGCAAAACTGTTAGCCATGTTCAAATAAAAGCTTTGTAAAAGAATTTTCTGTTTGTATTTGCAATAAGGTTGAGGTTGTGGTTGTACTTTAGCCTGTAAGTATTACTAACCGCTGTTATGCATGAGAGCTCCTTGCCGAGCAGCCAGGGCACAGACAGCCTCCCCATCCCTCGATAACATGAGCGGATCTTCTCAGTTATGGCCTGGTTTATGTCCCGGAGCGTGAAGAGGCACAGAACTGTGTCTGTGTTTGAACGGTTCTGCTGACCCTAAAGACAAGACCAGGGTTAGACCAGAGCCACTCTCATGTGATCACATTTACATTCAAACACAGACAATACAAAGAAGTTCAACACAAATGGGTGAACCTTCACACCTTCACACCTTCAAACCTTCCCAACCCACCTTGAAGAGCCAAAAGGATATACACCCTCAAATACCAGTGTTGACATGTCTGACCTGTGAAAAGAGGACCAACAGGACATCCTCGTCCTCCCCCAGGCCGAGCTGCAGAGCCAGCTTCTTCCCAGGCTTCTGTTTGAACGCAGCCTGCACCACTCTGTAGTCCACCCCGTCTTTGGTGCACCCGAGAGGAAACTCCACATAGGAAAAAAACTTTGGGTCATCGCTGCACATCCGGACGATCTTGGTGGTATAGAAAGTCTCCCTTCCTGGGTCTGCCTCTGATTTGGAACAATGACACGAACTCGAGCTGGAACTTTTGGGCGTGAGCTCGGTGTCCAGTTGTAGCGTGACAAAGTAAACGTAGAAGCCACTGGAGAAAGTGTAGACGTAGTGGATGTTGAAGTCTGGATACACTTTGAGAGTGTCTTCAGGAATTTTAATTTGAGAAGAGACAAATTCATCCTGATAAACCAGAGACAACATGTCATTACTGTCCACATCCGGCAGTAGCTTGCGATGGGACAGCGAGGGGTAATACTGGTGTGTCCTGGAAACACTGGCTCCGATGTAAAGACGACTGTTGCCTTGGACCGGTTTCTGACTGTCAGGGTTAGAGCCTCGGTTGTCCTTGTCCAATATCAGACCTAAAAGCAGATTCAAAGGGACGTTAGCATTCTTGACAGGGCAAGAATGCTAACGTAAAACACACTTCATACAAAAGGCAACTCAAAGTTCTGAACAAGCTAGACAACAACCATACAAGGCATTAAAATCATAAATACAGTTTAGAAAAAGTAGTGACGATTAAGGTGGGTGGAGAGGTCCTTCCTCACATTGAGGAGTTCAAGTATCTCAGGGTCTCGTTCACGAGTGAGGGAAGGATGGAGCGTGAGATTGACAGTCAGAGCTGTACCCAACCCAGTCCACAGAGCACCAGCCCCTTTTCCCTCTAAACATTTAAGTCTGTCTGCCTTGTCCATGTAGCCAATAACAGCACTACTCAGATCCTCATCACAGAAAGGTATAAAAGTGGAGCTTCATTCTGGCCACAACAAACAGCCTAAAAAACTATTATAATATTAAAACACTTGTACCTGCCATGCCGTTGGGGTCGCTGCCTCCGGACACATAGTGCTCTTTTTGCAGGTGTGGTTCTCCGAGGTTGAACAGGTCATCCAGGCGCAGGAACTGGCACACGCCCTGCCATTTGGTCCCACACGCCAACAGTCTGTTCTCACTGTAGTCCACCAGGAGGAGCTTATTCACATTATCTGACCTGCCCAAACTGAGAACAATACAAGTCCGTCAGCAATGCTATCATTTAACAACAGACATGGAATGGAAGCATGCCTGTACGTGAACATAAGTTCAACGGATTCTATGTGGAGCGATTTCTGAGGGAACTAAATTGCTGAAAAAGAATTGCTACAGAAAAAGAAGCAAAGAATTGCTACAGAAAAAGTATTTTGATGAGGGAATTATTTTTAGCAATGTAGAATGTTTTACAGAAGAGAGTAGTACAATGTTCAACTTCTGATTTACGGGCCAGAGACGCAGTGCGGCAGCTACACCTGAGCACTGAACAGTAACAGGCCAGAGGAGAGGAGGAAGAGATTTAGCCTTTAGCCTAGCATCTCCTTTGCCGCTAACGGAGCCCGTGGGGAGTAGCGCCACAATTGTTTCAAGCTATTACATTTGCTAAACATTACCCTTGCTCTGGCTTAATTTTCTTGATAGAACCAGACTGGATTACTTTACTATCGCATTTTTCTCCATTGCCAAACTACGACCTTCCTGTTCGACGCAAACTCTTGACGTCACCCACATCTAACTACAACACTCTTCTTCCGGGCTCTCTGGATGGTCGGTCGAAATTCAACCGATTGTATTCGCTAACACAGGGACCAGACCCAGACGTTACATGCAGTGAAATGATGATTGAGCGGAGTGTACGGATGGATAAGGCCAGGGTACTGAGAGCCTACATTGAGGGAGGGATCCGCTCCGACTGACAGACGGACTGTAGATCCAGAACTCACCGGATGATCTTGTAAACCCAGACACACTGCCAACCCTCTCTCTTTGTTGTAGAACTTCATACAAGTAAACGCTATCCGCTAGCTAGACCTGACCTGCCATAAATAAAAACCGACGCACCGTTATCCAAGACTCACACTGCAGTCTTAGTTATGTATGCTATAGACTGACCAAGTGCTGACGTCACCCATAATCCACGAGCGATTCCCTATTGGGCTCCAATGAGTTCGCAGGTTAGCCTTCAGATTCAGACTACTTTATTTATCCCACCAGGGGTAGTTTCATTTGAGCATCATAGGGCATAAAAACATAGGAAATGCCAAATAGTAATAAAGCGATATGATGGAAGTGACGGTTGGTTTTTTCAATCATTCAATATGGTGCATTGCCTGTCATTGCCTATTATAGCCTACCATTGCCTATTGCCTACCATTGTCTACTACCATCGCCTACCATTGTCTATCAATATGTAGTCTATGGTCATGGCATGGGTTCATGAACATGCTTCCAGGGAGATGTTTGAGGTGTGGACGGTATCTCCCTTCACCTGTGTGCACAGGTCTGGACGCTGGGCGGGGGGTAGCACCGGTTGTTGTCCTCCACCGGGCCGGTCTCATGACTCCTCAGCAGTGTCAGATCGGACGACAGCTTCAGGACTTTGTTGACCGCTCCGACATAGACCTCGCCGGTGCCCGAGTGGACTGTGAGGTGAGTGAAGGAGGTGTAAGAGGCGCAGTGCTCCTCTCTGCCACCAGGGTCCACAGCTGAGGAGGAGAAGGAGAGGGGAAGAGAGGAGGCGCAGGGCAGGAGCAGAAGTAAGAGGGGCAGATAGAGGCTCGGTGTGAGGAGAGGGTGGGATGAAGCCATGGCGGAGCTTCCTGGACACCTATGAGAGAAAGCAGGGATACATTAGAACATTACAAAGTGGATGAATACATGTTATTGTCATTACCCAATTCCCGGCTCACATGGGCTTTTATCACACTGACAAACAGTATTTCTGCTCTGGATACAGCGTTCTGTCTCAGTGTCCAGGCCTTCTCTTCATTTATTAAAATAACCAACGTATAAATTCGCTCTCACAACAGAGACCAGAGAAAGATCAGAGAGAGAGAGAGAGACTAGAGAGCGACCAAAGAGAGACCAGAGAGAGACCAAAGAGCGACCAGAGAGAGACCAGAGAGAGACCAGAGAGAGACCAGAGAGAGACCAGAGAGAGACCAGAGAGAGAGACCAGAGAGAGACCAAAGAGAGACCAGAGAGAGACCAGAGAGAGACCAGAGAGAGACCAGAGAGAGAGACCAGAGAGAGACCAAAGAGAGACCAGAGAGAGACCAGAGAGAGACCAGAGAGAGACCAGAGAGAGACCAGAGAGAGACCAAAGAGAGACCAAAGAGAGACCAGAGAGAGACCAGAGAGAGAGACCAGAGAGAGACCAAAGAGAGACCAGAGAGAGAGACCAGAGAGAGACCAAAGAGAGACCAGAGAGAGACCAGAGAGAGAGACCAGAGAGAGACCAAAGAGAGACCAGAGAGAGACCAGAGAGAGACCAGAGAGAGACCAGAGAGAGACCAGAGAGATCCTCCTGCAGGTGGTGGGTCCTAACGAGGGTGGCTGCTCTGTCGGTGAACACATAGCCCTGATCTTTGAGGAGGGGCTTCAGACAAAGTGTCCTGCTCTGATGAACTCCATTGATCCTTATACATTTCAAACAATGATTTCCTGATATAAATTATTAACACTGTAGATTGTTCTGAATTATTGGTTGTGGGTTTTACTTCTGACAGTATTGCACAAACTTCAGTGGACAAAGCACAGGGTCTGGTCCATGACAATACATTATATATTGTCATTTGTACTATGGTGTGGTAAGACCAGGCTAGTGTTATTATAGAATGTGGATGTTTTCCTGAGAAAATAGGTTATGTATAACCTGCCTGGCTGTTGCTTCAAGTTAATGATAATATTTTGTATCTTTTTATTTTTTTATTTAACACCATGTGATACAGATTCCATAAAAAACATAAATTACTATGTACAACATAGTAGTGCAGAATATATTGGTGGGGGAGGGGGAGTGGTGGGGGGGATTTTTAAGGCATCCAGAGCATGAAACAAAGAAAACAAAATACTTAATAAAAATGAAATAAGCAAGTACTGTCGTGGAAATGTGTAGGTGCTAATGTGTAAGTGTGGGTTATAATCAGGGTTCGAAATTAACACCCGCCAACCCGCCAAATGCGGGTTAAAAATCATTTTGGCGGGTACTAAAAAAAACCTACCCGCCAGTTTGGCCGGTGATGCATGAGCCAATCATGCAAATCATGTCAGAGACGCTCTGGGTGGTTTGTCCCCTCCGTCCTACATTTCCCATGAACACTACACTACTGGTGACGTTTCAGATACCTATTGGCAGATTGGCTGCAGCGCAGATACGCGAAAATATCGGATGAGAGGACTGAGCTGGACAGCGAAATAAACTAAAATGTTGCGGTGGTTAGAACAAACGTCAGGATCAGGAAGAAGTGAGAAGAGGAAGGAGCCAGAAGATGAAAATGTTGACAGAATATGCGAAACAAAGAGAAGGAAGTTCAGTTGTAAATGGCAGACAGGTTGTAACTGGTTAGTGTTTGATAGTAACAATTCGGTCATGTTTTGTCAGATTTGCCGTGAGTACACGAAAGACAAAAATAAAACCAACAGTTTCGTTGTTGGTACCAGTAATTTTAAAATCGAGGCAGTGAAGGACCACGAGAAAGCTAGGAGTCACCGGGAAAGCCTTCAAATAAAAACTGCGAAGACGGTTCCCGTTGAAGACAGTGTTGCGGGGAGAAGCCTCACTTCACTGAAGACTTCGGAGTTGGAGAAGATGCAACTTCTTTTTAGAAATGCCCATGCCATCGCAAAAAAGGGCAGACCTTTCACCGACTTCGCATGGATGTGTGAGTAAGTGAATCGACCATTTTATTTACATGTTCAAAATCAGTGCATTTAAAATGATACAGTGACGTGCATGCTATGAGACAGAGGAAATGTTAGGTTTGATTTTTAATAACCCCACTGAAAAGTAAATATACTCTGTAGGCACTAACTTTGGATTTATTCACATGATAATGAATTTAGAGTGGACAGGAAGAAAGGCTTGAAGATAGGAGAGACATATACAAATGACCACCAAGCAAAAGAGTTCATACACTACATAGCAGAGGATGAGAGGAGAAAGATGAAAGCAAGATTATCAGACGGCAAGTTCATCTCAGTCATGTCAGATGGATCCCTGGACAGTGCAGTGATGGAAGAAGAAATGGTTTATGTCAGGAGTGCTAGTGAGGGAAAAGTCAAAGTTGATTTTGTTGGGGTTAAAGCTGTCTCAAAGCCAGATGCTGCACATATAGCTGAAGCTGTGTGCAGTATAATGGACAGTGATGTCAGCACTGATTGGAAGAACAAGCTGGTTGCCATCACCACAGATGGAGCATCTGTAATGACAGGAGTAAACAATGGTGTAGTTACAAAACTGCGTGGAGACAGATCAAGTGTGCTTGGGATCCACTGCATGGCCCATAAGCTTGAACTCTCCTTTTCGGACGGAATAAGGAAGAATGTGATGGTCAGGAAAGTTGAGGACCTGTTGAGTGGACTCTACACCTTATATCATAAGAGTGGTGTAAACAGGGCCAGCCTAAAGGAACACTTCAGGGAGCTCCACATGAAAGCTTTGATGCCAACCAGAATAGGTGGAACCCGGTGGCTACCACATCTCTTCAATGCACTTGACCATTTTCTCAGGGGATATGCTGGCATTGTCCACCACTTAGAGGAGAAGGTATGCTAATTTATAGCCTAATAAAATTAGTAGGGTTTCAATTTTAAATGTTGTATATGATATAATTATAGTTGTTTTGTTTGTAGTCCCAGGATACCACACACACCAATGCTGTTCTGAGGGCAAAGTTCAAGGGGTTCCTCAACATAGCCAAGAATGGTGTAGTGCTCAGGTTTTGCTGCCTTCTCCATGACACCATCTATCAACTGAAAAACCGCTCCAAGTCACTGCAGCGGTCCGTGTCAACCCTGGCTGAAGCTCAGAGATGCCTGTCTTCCACTCAGGCTGTTATAGAAAAGTACAAGTCAAGGTATGAATCCTACCATGTATGCTTTGATTTTAGGTTGTGTTGGTGTGTTTTCAAATCGATGCATGGATGAAAATACACTCATCCATTTATCTGCACAACTTTAGACCTGGGCCAAAGCTGAGATCAGTGCTGGACACATACACCTATGAGGGAGTCCTCCTGAAGCCTTCTGATGCCGGCCAGCATGACAAGGCAAAGAATGAGCTGATCGATTCTCTGTGCCAATGCATCACTGCAAGATTTAGTGATGTGAACAGTGGTGTCCTGCATGCTATGCGACTGGCTAGTTTCCAGTGCTGGCCAGAGGCTGACACGAGTTCCGGTTTGTAATGGACAAATCTTTTCAATGCATTTCATGATTTAAGACAACTTCTGAACTTTGTAGTAATGCTTTCCCTTGTTCTCAGATTTTGGTGATGAGGAGATTAACAAGCTGATTAGTCACTTCCGACCTCTTCTGCTGTCTGCTGGTGTGGATGTGGACTTGATCCCTGATCAGTGGACTATTCTCAAGGCTGAACTGTACACAGCAGGATTTAGCCAAGGTACTTGAAAAATCACACAGATATACCTGATATATAAGTGCTTAAAAAGCTAAATGTTTAATAGTGTAAGACAGTTTTATTTTGTTTATCAGGAATCGGAGCAAATTTAATTTGTTAAAAGTGCAATACAAATTTTGATGACATCTTTTAATAACAACATAAAGTTGCATTTTAAAATGATTGTTTGCAAGAGTATAATGTTGTCTGACCCTGCAGCAGGAACCATTGAGAAAACCTGGCCTACTGTGAACAGAATGCTGCGCCATCGGTGTCCTGACATCCTTGACCTATTTGATGCTCTCCTCACCATTCCTGCAAGTACAGCTGACTGTGAAAGAGGGTTCAGTGTTATGAAGCAGGTAAAGAGTGACTGGCGTTCACGCCTGAAAGGTGAGTCCCTCTCTGACCTCCTGAAAACCCAGTTGTGTTCACCTGACATCAAAGACTTTGATCTAACCAAAGCCATCAACATCTGGCATGTTGACGGTTTACGCAGACGCAGGCCTGAGTTTGTGCGCAAAAACATAACCAAAGAAACTTCAGATTCAGAGGAAGAAGCGAGTTCAGAGAGCTCTGAAGATATTTGATTCTGAGAGGGAACTTGTTAATTATCCAACTTGGAAATGATATAGTTAAGTTAAGTTTATAACAGTTTATAACTGTGTATAGTCTGTTCTGTGTATTGCACTTTCTGTGCGTTTTTCATGCACTGTTAATAAAATTATCACATTTTCATTCAGTGGCATTCATAATCTCTTATTTTCACAACGTAAAAATTTGGCTAATGGAAATTCTGATTGGCTGGTAACTTCAGAAAGTCACCAGCCACTTTGGCTGGTGATCAAAAAAGTTAATTTCGAACCCTGGTTATAATGTGTATATGTATGAATGTATGCTTATAAATGTCTAAAGAAGGAATAGAACAAAAAAATATCGAGTGCTGTCTCCACAGATCCCAGTGACGTATTGAAAATCCTTTTTGGGGCCACTAAAAATGGTCTTTCCGGCCCAATATGGCCCACGAGTGCGACATGTCTGTACCATGGGTCTGTTATATTACTGGTCTGTACCATGGATCTGTTATATTACTGGTCTGTACCATGGGTCTGTTATATTACTGGTCTGCACCATGGGTCTGTTATATTACTGGTCTGTACCATGGGTCTGTTATATTACTGGTCTGTAC